ATATATTAAGGCCTCCTAAACAGATAATTCCACAACATCCATTAGATAGTGTCAAATGGATGGTTAAATGGACATTTTGTCATGTTAATTTTTTGTTGGTAGAGGTTCTTTTGTCTACTACTACATAAACAGAAAAGCTTTCATAAACTTAGTCACGAGAGCCAGTCCTGACTCTCATGAAGTGCGTTGTAAAAGACACTATGCGAGTATATAATCCAGAAGTGACTGGATTAGGACAACAGGGAAAACACAGTTGGAACAGGATGGGATGACAGACAGGGGGGCAGTGACGGCAGTGATCCGGTGCTTGGGGGACGTAGCGAAGGCGAACAAGTCCAAAACTGTCCAAAGGGGAAATCAGGGCGCAGTCCAAAGCCGGGAGGTCCATCCGAGACAAAGACAAGGAACAGGGAACTTGGAACCAGGAACATGGAAGTTAAAATGTTAACGGGACAAGGTGCTCCGAGTTCCAGACTCAGTAGGTCAGGACGCCGTGGTGAAGCCTACAGTATGCCCTCGGGCCACTCCTGTGCCCGGTGGTAGGCAGGCTTCTGGACGTCCGTCTTCCAGATGCTGAGCCCGGAACTGCTGGAACACTGGGCTTATATAGGGGATGGGGATGAGTTACAGGTGAATGTACTAAACTAAAAACCAATACATAAAGGGTAGGCGTACCCTCTAGAGGAGGGATAACGATTGTGACACTTATCGGAGTACTGTATGTTCAGCTCTTCAGCCTCATCCTTCACTCTTGGGCAAGATGTGTTTGTGGGTGTTATACTGACCATAAACACGAAACAAAACTAAATCTTATGTAAAGGAACTAGTAAAGGTTTAGTACATGCTGAAAAGAGCAGAAAAGAAACACAACAGCTGAAACATTGTTTCTTTTCTTCTCTTTTCAGCATGGAAAAAAACCTTTACTTCTATTGCATCATACGCATTTTGACACAGCTACCTATTTGAACTAAATCTTCTGTGTATCTGTCTAATAAATGACGGATAAGACAACTCCATTTCAATTAATACTGGAAACATTCAGGAAAAAGTGCTGGCTTTTGAATGCCCCCTACCTTGGCCTTGGCACCATATTCAGGCTCACTGAGGGAGAGGCCTGTGTCCCTGTGCTTACATTGTGTTCCTCTAGGCTATTCTTGGTCAACTTGTCTTTCATTTCCCTTGTGGATTCCATCCACAAGCTGCCTTGGGGGGTGTCCTTTCCATTTGACTTCCCCTCATAACCCAGCTGTTCAACTCTCCAAGGCTTAATCCCATTCCACCAATGGTTCAATTCCATTATAATTAAACATTTATGTTCCTCAGTCGATTTCTCTTCTGTATGAGCAAGCACCTAACCTATCATTCTTCTGTTACAAAACAACTTTATATGCACAGATAATAGGCTCACTCAACAGCACCCAGTAGTCACTGAATTGAATACAATATGTCTGATCCTGCTATAGGACTTTTAATGGAACAATAACAGCCCTCCTTGGAGCACACTCTCTCTCTAAGAAGGAAAAATACAAGCAGCGCTTAGAAATTGAGAAATGTTTTAAGCATCCGGACTTTGACAAGAAGACCAAATTGAATGACATCATGCTAATGAAGGTACCCCTTTCTTTCTCATTACATTTTCAGAACACTTGGTTTGTGTAAATTGTATATGACTTTCTGAATGGTTTAAATTGGCATATAATAGATATTATAGAGATAGCATTTGGTCTATCCGCAATGGACTTGAACTGTTAGAAGATGATAAATCTTATGGCAAAATACTGTAGATCTCAGTAAATTCATATCCGCTTTGTTCCATCTGCTTCCCCATTATTTGTCTTAATAGAGATACTGTACATCCTAGACAGGGCCAGGATACCACTTCAATTGTATTCTCATGTATCTCCTATATCTCAAATATAAATGGACTTTTTCAGTTCTGTTCAGAAATTTTAAAAATATTGCAAATCTCCTTTCTTAACCTGAAGGGTCTGTTGTTTTGGCCTTACTTACTGTTCAGTGAAAACAAAATCATTAAAAGAAGAGAAATAACCTTGTTTTTTGTTCACACAACAAATTATTTGGCATTGTATCCTAGCATTATATTCATTATGAGCTAGAACTGGCTTGTAATTCCTCTCTACTGTTGCTTTTTATGTTTCAGTTGAAGAAGAAAGTGAAAGGGAAAAAAATCAGTACTAAGAGTCTTCCTAAATCTAAAAAAGACATTAAAAATGGAAAACAATGCACTGTCAGAGGCTGGGGAACAAAAAATGAGAAAATAGTGAAAATCTCAGATACCCTCCAAGTGGCAGATGTAATAATTGTAGACAGGGCACTCTGCAATCGTTACTATAAAGGAAACCCTATCATAACTGAGAACATGTTGTGTGCTGGAAATAAGAAGGAGAAAGAAGATGCATGCAAGGTGAGTTTATATGATTACACTGTCCTTTAAGAAAAATTGAAATAAAATTAGTACAAATACAGTATATAAACCTATGGGCAGCATGGTGGCGTAGTGGATAGCATTGCTATCTCACAGCAGAGGGGCCCTGGGTTCAATTCTGCTATCTGCATGGAGTTTGTATGTTCTCCCTCTGGGTGCTTTTTTTTCTTCCCACTTTCCAAAGACATACAGTACTAGTTAATTGGCTTCTGTGGAGATTGGCCTTGTGCTAAGGGTGTTTGTGTCTATATGTGCATTGTGACACAAAGACTGGCATACTGTTCAGTGTGTCCCCTGCCTTGTGTACATTTGCTTTTGGACACTGACTTTCCCCTCAACCCTGTAATGGATACAGTGGTTAGGAAATGGATATTGACACATTACGTGGTTTATATATTGTATGTTTTTCTCTTTCAGGGAGATTCTGGTGGCCCGCTACTATGCAGTAATGATTTTGTTGGCATTGTCTCTGGTGGGGGTGGATGTGGTAACCCAGAGAAACCTGGTGTTTACACACGGCTCTCTAAAAAGTATCTGTCCTGGATTGCAGCTATTATGAAACAAAATACGAATGTCACAAACCATTAGTTGCTTAGTACAAAATGGCTGTTAAACAGCGAACTGCAGCATCGTCTGTCTTGTGCAGTGTGCATACATTTTAGAAATGCTCACCTTTTATTCAGTAAACTTTATTACTTTAAAAAAAATCAACTCTGTCTACTCATGATCCCTATTGCTCATCTTCTAAGCTCTGTTTGTGAACTGAACAAAAATAACATTGCATGTGTTGGTCAATAGCTCATTTAGCACTTGTAATGGACCCCAGATTATCAAGGTTACCCTGGCTCTACATCACTAGCATAGCAAATTAGTCTAGTCAATTAGCCACTACTTTGTGGTTAATAAATCTACAGTATATGTTTATTCTTCAAGTATGTAGGACTCACTTAAAATTTTAGAATAAACCAGTTTGCATCCACACAAACTGAATATCAGTTCTGGCCCAACCATGGAAAGATATCTGTCATGTAAGGATCTTTAGTTACAGGAGAGAGGCACAATTTTGCGCTTAATGGTTGCTCTTTGTAATAAACATCTCCTGTTTTAAAAATTCCAAATGAAAATACAAACAGTGTAATAGAAAAGGGTGAAAGATCAGTAATGATTTGCTTTTTTCCGGATTCATTGTTATGAAGCACTAAAACTTTGTTGTTCAGCTTACATATTTTAGTGTTTCTGTTCTGTGTTCATAAAGCAGAAGTGAAATTAGCAAATTACAGATCTTTGTCATAAGAATATAATAATGAGCTCTTCCTTATGGTTTTTGTAATTTAATACAAAAAAGTTTCAAATATTTTTATTGTATTTTGTATTTATTTTTATCTAGACCCTAAACTGAGAACTGGTTAAATAAGGTTAATAGATTGGGGGGTTTTCCATATATTAGAAAGGGTTCCCAAATATTTCATTTATATTTTCAGAGAAACACCTTACTGCATTTATATATCTCTTCTTAACATAGAATGTCTATATTATTTTACATCCATTTGTAATCGTATTTTATATATTTAAATCAAAATATTGATGTGATTTTGGCACCTCAGAACAAAAGGCTTGTAATATGATTTACATTCTACACATTTGTTTCCATTAGCAGATTACTTATTTGTTTTTCATACAGGTATTAGTGAATAATGGCGCTCGATTAATCAGAGCTGCAGCTGTGTCATTCACTCATGTCAGTTTCCTAGGAGACAAAACATTCCATAGTACATGTTAACATGCCAGCCAGACAACAATGTAGCAAGTTTTAATTTTAATTTGAGGTTTTAATTTTATCCAAATTTTTCTCTCTGTGCAAATGAGTAATCATATCACTGGGGTTGCATAGAAGAATAAAAATCAAACCGTCTCACAATCGTTGACAGAATAACAGAACCAAAGACATCAAATCTGGATACAAATAAATGAAAAGATACTGTAAGAACCTAAGTGTTTTGATTATAAGACCAAATGCATTTAATTGCAATTGCAAAATTTCCTTAACTTATTTTTTGACATATATGTGCTTATATACAGTATCTACATACATCGGACGCAGGAAACCTTCCCACCTACATTTCCTGCATCAGATCAATCCAGAGAGTACCACTTCAAGAGTTACATGAAGTGGAAAAATATCAGAGAGAAATATTTTTTTAACTCCTGTTAACTTGTTAAGCATGTTTTAAATTACAGTAAGAACCCAAGCATGTTACCTGCCAGCATGGCATGCTGACAATCTCTAAGGCATAGGATTTAGTTTTAAACACACATTCTTTTTTAATACAAAAACAAGTCTAGACTGCTCTGGAAGCTAATTTTTCGATTTTTGTACAGAAGCACCTCCGGATACACCCCTCTCTCTTTGAGATATGCATGTCTTGACTTACACGTGGAGCTGCTGCAGCAGTGGTTTTTGCGCTCCCAGCTGAACCTCAATCAAAATTCGTTTGACAGCTTCTCAAATGTGTTAGTTTCTACAAAACCCCTCAGACGGTGTCAAAAGTTAACATTTTGTCACCCTGCGCTTCTTTTGTCTGCTATTAAGGAACAAGAAAAGCTTTCCTAAACTCTTAGGAGTGCTTTCAACTTTTCAGCCTCATCCTATACTTTGGGTAGGATTTGTTTTTGGTTATAATGACGATAAACATACACCAAAACTAAACCTACTGTACTATTTATTGCAAAGAAAATGAACATGCTAATATTTATGATAATGGGCATTGTTGTTGTTTTTTGACAGGATAAAGTAGCAACCAGAATAAATATGCTTTTTGAGACGATTAGGACTGGATAGAATAATGTAAAGGATGGTTCAGTGATTAGCATTGCAGCCTTGCAGCACTGGAGCCCTAGGTTCAATCCTCATGTACATGTGGGTTTTCCCCAGGAGCTCCAGTTTCCTCCAACAGTCCAAAAACATACTGGTATATGAATCCACCCTGGTGTAAGTATGAGTGTATCTGCGTGTGCCCTATGCTAGACTGATGTGCTATCCATGGTGTATTCTGCATTGCACCAGTTGCACTGGTTGTTTGGAGGGAAAGTTTTTGACTCCCCTGTGACCCTGAATTGGATGAAGTAGTTACAAAATAGATGGATGGAATGGAATACCACCATAATTAGTCAACAGACTGCCCAGAGGATGTGAAGCCATGAAATTTCCGGCTGCAGAGATATATTTAATTGTTGATGTTTTAGAATATCCGCAGACACTTATCTATGGTACCACGGTTTGTGCCTGGATGGAGTGAGAAATTAAAGATGAAGGTAAACTGAAAGCAAATTTCCTACAGTATATAAAAAAGATGTACAGTATGGTTGAAAAAGGTGGTGGCTGGAATATTCCTGTCTAATTGTAAAAAGTCTTTAGCCAGTAATTTCAACCAGACTAGGAACCACAATAGAACATTGAAGTCATATAAGGAGTTCAAAATGAGCATCAAATTATTGATGAATTGGCAAAATACAGTATGTATTTTTTATAATTTCCTATCAGAACTCATGAGAAATTCCAGATTAAAATCAATTTTAATTTCGACAAGTTTGAAAATGGAGCATTACCAAATCCTTCCCATTTGATCCAGTAGACCAAGGTGCTATTGTAGAAACAACAAAATATACACTATAATACTTAATATTTTAAAAAATGACCACATACAGTATTTATTGTAAACCCAATAGTTTTGGAATGCAAACAGCAGGAGAATGTTTCAAGCAGGAGAGATTAGGTTAATACAGTTAGTATCTTATTTTTTTATCTTATCTAAGTGCGAGACAGAACCTACCAGGAAGGTGGAAAAAAAGCTTTTCAAGTATGAGCATTGAAAGAAAAACCGCAACCAGAACAGCCGCAAGTTAGTTCTGTTCCCCAAAGTATGACAAATCACAAGCAATTCTGTATGTCCCTGCTGTTCTAAAAGCCAGTCAGTAAAGGGAGGCTTTGGGCTTAGTTGCTCTCTGTTGCTCTCATAAGACATAAGACAGTGTCTTCCAAAGTACACAAGTACATCATAGAAGTTGCAGGCATGTACTGTATATGTCATCTGGTTTCAATGAGATTATATGGTGTACTAGAGCATCAGCATGTAAATACTTTGAGACATCCCATCTGGCATGAAGCTGTCTGGATCTGGCAGATCACCTGGTCAAAAAAAGACAGCAGTAAAGTAGAACTCAGAAATCTGTAAAACATTCCTTCTCATTTATTCCCAGGGTTGTGTGGATTTCAGTCTTTACACAAGCTGCTCCACTTTAGCAATGAGTTAATGATAAACAATTAATACCTCCCACCTCCTTTTTACAAACAGCTTTAAAACTGAATATGTTCTGACAAAGAAAATTATTTAAGTGCAGTGATGATTGAAATGCTATTGTCATTTACTTTGTCAAACAGATTCAGTTGAATGCATCAGAAGTTAAAGAGCAGATGGGCTCTATTTCAGTTCATTTGTGGCTTGTGGTCTTATTAATTGCTTTGACAAATTAACAGCCTTATCTATTGTTTCAAGTCCTATGTCTGAAATCGTATAAAATGATTAAAGAGCCCAAAAGTGGTGCAGAGGAAAACAGTTATATAAAGCATCTGCATTCCACTTTAAGTCTTAAATGAAACTGTGAACAATAATGACACTGTAGCAAAACAGTCTTGAAGCAGAAAATAATGCATGGAGTTAAACATTGTACTGTATGTGTGCTATTATAGCAGCTTCTGGCATAACTAAAATATACTGTACAATGAAGAAGGAATGTTTAGTGACTGAGTGGACGTTTAAAACCTCACACTATTACCCACTACAAATGCAGTTACTGATCAGGTTTCACTATTGAATAGAAATTAAGCAAATTGATCGAAAAGGTCACTCCTTTGTTTTAGGCATGTAAATTATACAGCACTGTAATATAGATAGTTTGTGAATAGTTCAGCCTGATAACATGCACTGTCTTCCCTCAAAATGAAGTTGAGAAATGAGATACTGTGCAGCAACAATGATAAACAGGACTTGCATGTAAACCCAGCTACAGAACACTGTACTAATATAAGTTTTGTGTGTGGTATCTACCTTCATTGTTAAGTCAAAATGATGGGTTTATGCTATATGACCTGCAGTATTTGTTACACAAGCACTCAAGACATTACATCTACATTTTACATATACAGTGTATATGTGATTTAAAATCACACTAAAGGGGTGATGTTAAATGTTCCATACTGGCTCACTGTCATTTCAAACCTGGCGTATGTTATCAGCCATCTGTGAGGGGCATCCCCCAAGCAGCTGTGTATGATTGAATGAGCTTGGTGTTGGCTACAAGCTTGAAGTGATGTCAGTGAGAAATGCATCTCATTAACAATCAGTTTCATCATCGTGGAACTTGTATAATTTCAAATAGCAAACAACTCCTACAGTACCTGTGGGTGGCATGGGGCAGTGTGTTTTGTCGTCCGTATTATCCCCATATATGTTTGGGGTTGCAGCAAGGAGAAATAATTATAAATTGGCAGCATACAAAAACAGAAAAAAATCAATTTCTAAACATCTAAAACAGAATACAAACAAACAGGATACATTTACATGTGGCATTTTAATATGCTAATTTTTGCAGTGGCTAAGTATCTGCTCCTGTGGCTGGAAGGTTGCCGGTTCGTATTCCGCAGCCGGCAGAGGAATCCTACTCCGTTGGGCCCCTGAGCAAGGCCCTTAACCCCAACTGCTCCAGGGGCGCCATATATAGTAAATGGCTGACCCTGCACTCTGACCCCAAGCTTCTCCCCCTGTCTGTGTGTCTCATGGAGAGCAAGTTGGGGTATGCAAAAAGACAAAATACTAATACAAGAAATTGTATATGGACAATAAAGTGATCTACTGTATTTAGTGACTCTCTACATTTTAGTGAACAAAAGACTCTAAAGCTTACAGATGGCACAAAGGTATTATTCTCTTTGCAAGCAAAACTTACTGTTTTTTGTGGTGTGTATTTTATTTTCTTGATTTGACCAGGTTTGACATTCAACAAGTTAAATTACCTTATTGCCTGTGACCAATCATCTGTCTCACTAATGAGGTGATTTAGTGTTTGTGAACACGTTAGGTAGTTCCATGGTATGACAGACAGTCAAGAGTGATTAAGTAATTAAAATTACACAAAAAATGTAATTGATCAATATTCAAAATACTTTATTTTTCTTAATGTACATATAAAATAAATGTTTGGGTGCATATGTGTTCATGTTTGTGTTTAAAGTATTACGCACTTTACTATGCACATTTTCCTTGTCTTGTACGGTACATTTGTCTAGATTATTGAGCTGCAAGAAATGTTGCAGTCCAGAGGCTGGTGTTACTCTGCATTTTGTACCTGCACAAGAATAACTTGGCACTTCTCATACAGAAAAGTACAAATTGCCTTTTCTTTTTTTTTTTGCCACTTTTGTAATGTCATTCATTAGTCTTGCCTGCTGGGGCTAATCTGCAGCCTGCAGATTTGTCTATGCAAGAGATCCAAGATAACTGTTGAACCTGTGAGACCTGTTGTTTTGCTCAAAATTGTAGTCTGTTGCTTTTTTTTAAATAGCAGTACAAAGCTGGAATTGTTTTACACTCTTCATCTATTTCAATGGATGACTGGGAAGACAAGTAGACATAATGAGATGTTCACCACCTCTGCTTCTCAAACGTTTCTGTGCAGCAGATTTCTTTTCCACCAAGAAATTGAGAGAGATCCATTTAGGCAAGTAAATGAATACTTCAGTAACCTAATTAAAATATCAGCTGGAATGGAAACATTAAGATTCTGTGATTCAAAGGGGGTTGGGCTCGAGAAACCTCGGAAAAGCTCAGTGAGGGAAAGTGACATGACAGGATGTCTACGCAAGCACAAGCCTCTATGAAAGGTCTGCTATTGTCTGAGCCTTGGGGGTAGGAGCATAGCAGATATTTTTAGATCTCCTTAAATCACCCCTCAAGGAGATTCATTTAGCTAACATGAATAAGCACAATTAAGTTTTATGTGGACCTGTTCAACCCCTCTCCACAGGTGCACTGTAGGTAAGTAAATTGGGTGATAAAAAGATCCCTCAAATGCACTTTTTATCCAATTATGATTATTGGATCATAAATGAAATATGTTCTACGGGTGTGTATCACCTCCTCCACCCAAGACCTGACTTGCTCCATAAATGTCTATTTATATTCTGAAACCCAGTCACTTCCTCTATTGAACCTATGTGGGATATTTAATGGTAAGAAAGTAAATATTGGTTGAAACGTAGATGAAACTAAGCTGTTTCTACAGTATCAACAGCCCCAACAGTTTCTCTGTGTTATCTGTGACACAGACACCTATTTTATTCTGGCGGGGCACTGTATGTAGGCTGAATTCTTAATAGTACTAGTAATAGTTCAATAAAATACTGTATTTTGAACCCAAAGGATTTGAAAAGGAATTACAATCTGGATATTTTTACACTACACAAATTAAAAATAATCAGTTAGGTAAACAAGGTCAATTTCAGTACTATGAAAAGTGAAGATGAACTAAAAAACGTCTGCATTCTTATGTTTGCAGGGTAACTCCTGTTATTATATAATCTAATGTTTGTGTGGCAATATAATATGAATGCTGTTAGCAATAATTGTTTACAATGTTAATAAAGTGTGACTAAATATATAAAAAATATTTCCTGTGAATGATCTTCAAAATATGCACCTTTTCTTCACATTGAGTTCCAACCTCAAAGACCTCAGTTTTGAGATTGTCACATACAGTAAAAAAGTAGGATTTATTCCTTCTAAATGGTCAGACATCTTTGCTTCAAAACAGCAGCAGATTTTCGTTCTGCTTTAAGACTTCAATAAAGAAAATTGTACACACATGATCTAATATTTACCAAGAGAAGCAATGTTCTGTTTTCATTGCTCACCAAGAACCAAAATACGGTTATCTGCTTGGTACTGTATATACTAAAGGTTTCTACTAAATTCCAATATTTTGTGTTATTTTGATAAGATCTTATTCTCTCTTATTTTTACACTAAATATTTATATCCAAACTAATGAATTATCACATGGAAAATAAACTTGAATTAAATTATAAGCAAACTTGTGTCTTTTAGATAAAATGGAGAGTGTGAGAGCATTTTATATGAATGTGAGAGGTAAAATGGAGAGTGTGAGAGCATTTTGTGTGAATATGAGAGCACTATGTGTGTGGATGAGAGGTAAAGTTTGAATAATGGCCTAAACGGCACCTCATACATTGCTTTGTTTTTAGTTTCTTAGAATTCTACTTGTTCAGAAATTGAAGAATTGTTCTACTCTTCTGAAAAACTTAAAACACATTGCTTTAGTGTAAGTTTGTTTAACTTTAATTTTTTATATTCAGGCTACATTCTACAGTGAAATTTAGAATAGTTTATTTTATCTACGCTGAACTGTAGCACTGTAGCCTGTCTGACTGATGATGTTGTGAATATGTTTTCTGGAAGGCTAGGAAACTAAGACACAAGTAGTGGTATTTACATTTTTTTAAATCAGATCTTACTTTACACATATGGTTCATGATCCTGATATCAAAATTAAATTAATCTTTATTCTATTAATTTGGGGGAAAAAAATACATAAGACTGCTAAAATACCATTTACCACTAGTACCTGATTTAATCCCCATCTGCCAAAATCAATTCCTTAGCTTAAGACAATTCTCTCATATTACTTTGTCTTCATCATTATAGCTAAATTACTGTTAATGTTTTAACATGCTGCTTGTTCTCCGTGTTACTGAAATAATCCTTGATACCCCTCCTGTGTGTGCTTAAACTTGATCTTCATATAAATCATTTTCTTGCACTTTTCCCTCCTTTTCACGTATGGGGAATTTTCTGTAAAAACAGCACATTTGTAAACCCTAAATGTACATAATACAGTACAATATGCTTGTATGGTATTTAATATCTGCATGCAAAAATACAGCCTCTCATTAACATTGGTGAGATACAAAATAGCCCTTGTTGTTGAAAATTATGGTCTACATGACCTAAAATAAGGTGACTTTAAAAAATCTTATTATGATTACTTTAATTAAAAAGTAATGAGTAAAGCCATTTCATAGTTTAGGTGCCTGATGGAACCCATCTCAGACATTGGGATACAACTTTTCCAACTCAGACTCGAATGAAGGACTTTAATGTTCTGCAAATTTAATGAGACTGCCATCTTAAAAATAAATTCACTATCTAGTATAAGTTCTTTAACATTATGATGAAATACATCAAATAAAAAGGAAAAGATTTGTTTGACCTACAATTTTTAAAAAAGTATGTTAGTGAATGATAGTGAATTTTGAACCAAATTGTGAATACTACACCCTACCTACATTGAATGCAGTTTGTGCCCATAAATCCTTCGTCCCCATCTGTGTGTGTGCACTAGCCTTCTAAACTTTACCCACTTTAATACACATATCAGGACTGATTGCTTTTTGATCCAAACTGTTTGAAAGAAAGGGACTCCACACGTATGTATAAGTACAACACTGCAACATAGCAGATGGCAAGAAACTGTAGGGCAGCACTGGCACCATTACCAGTACTGGACAGTACTGGTAATGGATGCTGTAATATGGGATTCATCCACACATTAGTTTAAATGGCTAATTCAGTCTAAGAAAAGTACTCTTCTTTGCCACTGTGGACGCATGTGGAATTCCATTTGTACATAGAAAAGAAAAGACCATTCAGCTCATCAATACAGTGAATTAAGATATCCTACTCCCTCCTTCCAAACTCCCGCTCTATCCTCCAAAACTTCACACACATGAAGCTTGCTCCAGACCTACAAAACCCTTTGATACAAAAGTGACACCTTTTCTTGATTTTCAGTATTGTTCCACAATATTTCCACTTGTGTCTTCTAGTCTGTGCTTCATTGTCTATGAAAAAGTCCATTGGGTTGACTTTGACAATTCATGTGAGGATTCTGAATTCTAGAATCAGGTCCACTACTCTTCTCTATTTTAGTTTGTCATTGTAGGACATACCTTTAAACTAATGTATCTAGTTGCTCTTTTCCGGACTAATTCCAGAATAGCAGTAGAGTTTTTTAATTTACAATTATGCACACCACAATATTCTAAATAAGGTCATGCCAGCACACTATACAATTTTAAGCTTTTTACAGTACTTGATTCATTGCTGCATGTACTATAAATGATATATACCTGTACAGTACACTTTGTATGTGACTATATTGTACAGTATGTAGCCATCTCACCTAGTTTGAGAAGGAAAATACATTTTCTTGTAAATCAATTTGTAAAGAAAATGTTACTAAAATTTGTAAAGAACAATCATGGTTTAAGACCAATATACATTTTGGGATAACTCAATCCCAGTGTTATTCAGAAATATTTCTCTGGCACCCTCACTTGAGAAAAGACCAAATTAACTTGAATTGTTTTGCTTACGTGAGCTATGTCATGTGACATCCTGAAAGCACTGATTCTCTGTAAATAACTATGAGAAATGTTTTACTCTGACAGATTATGAAAACAGTGGGCAGTAATACAGAAAAAAAAAACATGTGTGACAGTTTGTGTCATTAATCTAAACTGAATGTGGCATATTTAATTAAATAAAAAGACAAATGAAATACGAATTTTGTTACATAGACGTTCAACATGCAGCCTTTAACTTGTCACAGGCCCATTGAGAGAAAATTGTCTAGCCTTTACTTTTAGTACCCCCTGGTGGCCATGAGGCACAAGAAAGGTTTTAAACTATGAAGAAAAAATACAAAATTGCAAAACGTGCTGCAACCAGTTATACTCCCTAGTTTAGATGGAAATTCAGTACAAGTAAGAAATTAAATTTGAGTCATTGTCATACCCTGCAGGTTGTAGATACTAACACCTCACTGCCACCGTAACAATGAGCAATCTCAGGGTACGAAACTACTACTACTAGACGTCTTCCACAACTGACGCTCCCGGTGTAGCATAAAATAAAATAATGTAATGACTGTGGGCTTCGGTACGGAATGGAGCAGGCATAGGACTCAACAACACATTTATTAACTCAAACCGGGGAAAAGCACACACACGAAAGAAAGAGACTGTCTTCCACCCTCCGTCCCACTATATACAGTCCCATAGGTCCACCCCCAGGCGCTGATCTCAGCCCACCCTGCGTGCGCATGGCTAAAGCGACCCGCGTAGCCCGCGCCTGAAGAGTCGAGCGTCCCGCCGACTCCAAACCCTCGATCCAGGCTGCTCCGCGGGCTCGTCCTGCTAGCCTCTCCGTCTGGGCAGGCTCTCCGTCCAGGCCAGGACCCTCCGGCTCGGCTAGGGCTCTCTCCCCGCGTCGCTCCGGCCCTCTGACCGTTCCACTCCTTCCTGCTTCTGATACCACTGTAACGACCGCGGGCTTCGGCACCGAATGGAGAAGGCATAGGATTCAGGGAATGGGGTTGAACAACACATCATCTTGGCCTCATATACATGTTTAATCCCTTCTGAAGCCAATGTTATGTAATTTTGTGCTAAAACAGTATTACTTTTTCGACATTTAGCTGACCTTGGTATATTGATTCAGATTTTCAGTTGAACAATGTAAACTGCATTAGCAGAAGATTAAAATTCACAGCTACTGTACTTTGAATGTGAGCTCCTTTGACTTGCAATAGCATTTAAACTTTTTAGAACCGATTAAATGACCAGTTCACATTTTGTAAATATTGGCATTTCCGAATTGCAAATGCGAATATTGTTAACAATGGTTAAGTATTTCTGAAACCAGTACTTTATAAGGAGAATTTAACTTTCGTGTCTGTACTTTATACAGCACACACAAGATTTTGTAATACAGTCACACGGATGACATGGGAGTCAATGTTTTGGGCCGTCAGTAAATCGTGCTGAAATGCAGCTACGATAAATTGGCAATATTGTTTTAGTAAATTTTATTGAACAATATCACTTTTCAAAATAGCACACTAATTACCAATCACAGCGACACATATACTGCAGTACTGTATAGTCACACATCTGTCGGTCACCGTCTGTTCTGTCAATAGTACCGCCTAGTCATATCCTAGAATACACAGCTCACCTCTCTTTTGTTTCGCCTTAAAGCATTTTTTTTAATAAAAACGTTGTTCAAAATTCACATAATTCTTTAATTCACAGCAAAGTATAATGTGTGTTTAAAGGTTTGGTTATTAACTATACATTGGCACCCTATTTTTCTTTCGCTGCTCTAAGGTTACTTCGTCATATTTTCTATTATAGGCAGCAAAAATTATTATTTAAAAAAAATCTAGATTTTTTTTGCACAATTCACGTCACAGTGAATTCAGTAATACGGTTTTCATCATTTTCCCTTAACGCCACCAGATGGAACAATGCTCTATGTATTGAGGCATTTTCCGTACAGTAGATTCGTGCATTGCATGTCCTGTCCGTGTCTCTTCCTGAATGGTTGATTGGCACTTGTCTTGACCAATCCGGTGGGAGTGTGTGAGGTGTTTGACCAATTGCACTTGTGCAAGGGAGGCTGCTATTGGTCCCCAGCTCAAAGGGAAAGTGTGTCCGGGCTGTGAAAGGTACTGTACAAGTAAGCATCTGACAGAGGTGAGTGCTGCTGGAATTTTTTGTTTCTGTAGACATTCGGAACGTTTTAATTATATTTTTAATACCTGGCCTTGTTGTTGGGGGTAATAATTGTTTTTCGAGGTTATCACATTCATGCAATTGTCAAATCAGCTCCTAGCCAAAATCCTTGATGTTTTAGTATGTTACAGCTACAGCTAATTATAAAACATTGTATAATAGAGGTTCCCTTATCCTTATAATTGTGTTAGTATGAAATCCTATTTCTTTATTTGACTCTGTTTTTTGTAATTTGAAAGGATAATTTTCGGTGGTGACGCCGAGCTGCAAAAAGGCAGGCCAATATGATTTCATGTGGCAATGTATGACTTTTAATATATAGCTTGCAGATTTTCTTTGTCAATTGAAAAAAAAAGTCATGATGTATCGATTTCCCCATTCAGTTCATCAAAGGTTTTGACACTACTCTAGTTACATGATTTAATAAGCTGTGCATATTGATTTCTCTGAAGGGAAACTCCCTTGGTGACGTTATACTGTATGTTTTGGGCATGTTTCCCCATTGTGTCAAATAGACACCTTAATATAAAAAGCAGCATGTGCTGGAATTTATTAGGCGATAGTCATGCTAGCTTTGTACCTTATTATATCGGGTATTAAAAAAAATCTTCGACGAAAACAAAGTAAAATCTCTTTATTCCTCTGTACTGTATGTAACAGATAAACTGTGACCTGTCCTGCATTATATCTATTTAAGATAATAAAGGGTTTGTGTTATTGGTACCCAACAGTCCTTGTTTTTATACGGTAAAAATCTACTTAATTTAAAAAGCTAGCTATAATACATATGAACATATGCTTAAATGTGCATATGATATACCAAAATATATATAAGGTATTGATATATTAAATTGTATAATGAAATAGTATGGGATATTAAAAAAAAACAACCTTTATTTGACGCTAACCCAACCCATATTTTGTGTTTTGTGCTATTGTGATTGTGGGATTGTTCACCAGGTGTGTGGATCTTACATTAAATTCTTATTTTTTATCATAAAAGAAATTACTAACCCTAAATATATTTGTTTTTTTAAGCCTATACCATAAAATGTCACACCACCTTATTTTTTTGCCTTCTTTTCTGCAATGAAAACAGGCTGCTAAGAATTAGAATTCTTAGTAAAAATTAGATTTGTCTGCGGCATGTACAAATGGCTCTGAATACAAGATATTTTTTCCAAAAAATGTCTTTAGATACTGTTTTTATAGAGTAATAAATTCATTTTGAGCTGGTATGCCATACTGTACAATGCATATTAAGTAGAAGCAGTGAGTTAGCTTTCCAAAATCATGTTACCTTGTTACTTCTCTTGGCTGGTTTCCACTGTGCACCAGGGCTGATTTTAAAATTTTAAATGAGGTTTTCAGATTTCGGAGCATCTGTTACTGCACCAAAAACCTTGCCTGATGGCTCTGGGTTGGTGTGGTTGTTCATTTTCGGTTATTTAGAAGGCTGATGAGTGGTTTGATAGGAACAAAATCATTATAATAAATGAACCCTGCTTGCACTCAGCATCTTTATACCTCACAACAAAGTGCAAAGTTCCTCATCATTCCAGCAAGCTGTGTTATAGCTTAAATGTTTTGCAAAACATAAATGTAAATCACTAACTTATTGCGTATTTATTTGTTATGCTACTAAATTGTGGACCTAGCTGATAATTCAAGAGGCTCATTTCAGGGCTCAGAAAAATTAAATCTCTTTTACAAACGAATTCGTCTTGTATTTATTAATTATTACACGCTTCCATCAAAAACGTTCTTAAACTTTATTTATTCATTTTGCTGTCATCAGCATCAGGCTGTGCCATTCTGGTCTGATTAGAACTATATTGTGATGTTCTTGATTTTGTGATGGTGTCTTATGCATGGTTTGCAGTGTTCACAAATAATACCAGCTTGCTTTTCCAATTGCATGTGCTCCAGGATGATTCAGCGTTGAACTGCCATGGAAGAAGCCTGCTTTGTGGAAAATTCAACCCTGCTTGGAAACAGTAACACTCACTATGGCTGCCCTCAACGTAGCTACGGAGACCGAAAAGGCACGCGCTCTGCTCCAGACCTTCAGCACTGCCTCTGTCGTAGCCAGCACAGGACTGGGAATGTTTTGCTTTTTCGCCGACAGGTTCTTGCAATTGTCCTTTGTCCAGCATCATGACTGGTTCCGTGCCATTTCGGACAATGCCGTGCATGGCATAGTAGGCCTCTGGTCCTGGGCTATCGTCATCGGGCTCAGGAAGAGGAGTGACTTCTATGAAGTTGTCTTGGCTGGGGTTCTGGCTTCCATTATCGACCTGGACCACTTTTTCTTGGCTGGCTCCCTCTCTCTAAAAGTAAGTCCCCTTTTATTCTCTTGAGCAAGGTGGCAGAGACTGAAAGGAGGGCAGAGCCATCTGAAAAATAAAACAAAGAGGGTAGGGAGAGTAGATGACTTGAGAAGTTGATCCTTAAGCCTTCAGTGTTTGTGGTCTTCCAGAACAATCAAACAACATCTTTATGTTCTGTAGCACCTTTCATCTTACGAAATGAGGATTACATAGATATGAAGCCTCCAGAATATGTGTCCTAGTTTAACAGCATGCCATGTTGGCATTAAGCTTATGTTTAAAATGTGCAAACAACATCTGGACTTAATATTAAATAATTGCATGTGGATTTGGTTGGAATTGTATAGACCATTTGCTCCATCGGTTGAAGTAGAATGAAATGAAATGGTTTGTATCTGCAAGTTCTCACAAGAATCTTGCCAACATAAAGTATGTACTTTAGACTAGCATTTTCACATTTTAAGATTATGAAGAAAAGGGGCTTTCCTTGAGTTGTCAATAATGGATCATGGTGTTTTATTATTCTTTTCCAGGCTGCCCTGAACCTCCCCCATAGGCCTCCCCTGCACTGTTCCTCTCTGATTCCAGCACTGGCCTTCTCTCTCAAGTTCCTCATGTGGGCGTGCCGGCTGAAGGACTCCTGGTGCTTCCTGCCCTGGATGCTGTTCATCTCCTTGGCCTCTCATCATGTGCGAGATGGTGTGCGCCACGGCCTGTGGATCTGTCCTTTTGGGAATACCGCCCCCGTCCCTCACTGGCTCTACATTGCCATCACCACTACCTTACCTCACCTTTGCTCAGTGCTCATGTACCTGACTGGCACCAGGGACATGATCTCCACAAAGCATGGTATTGCTATAGACGTCTGAGGTGGCACCAAGCCATTACTGCTCCACACAGTCTGTATGTACTGTATTGTATTGGTGAACTGTATGTGGTCTGCCTGTGTTATCTCATGAGAATCTTGATCTCTGAGTGTGACAGTTTTCACAAAACCACATGAAGACCAGTGTTTCACAACCTGCCTGGAGGCCAGTGTTGAGGAATAGTGATTGGGCTTTTGGTTGCAATTTGCTGTGAAGAATGGGACTTGTGTTGTTTTAGCTTGATAATAAGTGAGTCCCCCGTGTGTTTTTAAGAGTAGTGCATACTAATGCCTCCTGGTTTAAGGCATTTGTTTTTGAGCTTTTAACTTATTTTGAGCTGCTGAAGGTTCATAATTTAATCTGAAGAAATTACTAAAAGGAACCATGGTTTGGACCATAGAGTTATTCTTGCACGTTTTCTAATGATGGACATTTAAAATATTCACAAGACCAGTTGATTTCATTTACTGGTGTGGGAATAAAGTGTTTAATTTCTGATGAATTCAGTCATTTGTGTATATGCCTGCTTCACACCCCTACCCACTTCTCATTAGTTTCTTGTTTTATTAATGTTGTTACTGTGTTCATGGGATATTACGATTTGTGTGTTCATTGTGCACCAAGGCCTACTGTTTTGTGGGCTAAGAAGCAAAATTACTTTCACTGTCACTACTGCTGTCCCACTGAGTAATATGACATAGACCTGTGGTTTTAACACTGTACCATAAAGGCCAGACGGATCTAGGCTGTTAGTTTTCTAATGATTAAGATTCAATTTGTCCTCTGCACATATTTATTTCTGCATCTCAATTCAATCAAATGGGATTTTTAAAAAACTGTTTAATAATCAGATTTGTTTGGGTGTAAGAATAAAGAGGCTGTAGCTGATAAGGTGTTCATCTTTGTTCTGGATATTTGCACTGTAAAATTGTAACTGGAATAAAGTACATGTCCAGGATCTTTCCTCAGTGGTGGTGATCTTGAGTCCTTGAGTTACAGTAGAATAGTGAGAAATTAATTCAGGCAGGTGAGGGGGTTGTGCTGCCTCAGAAATTCTATTTTTTCTTCGTACTAACCATGTAAGAAACTCTGAAAATGTCATCATGGCCTGTGGCATCCGAAAACGTGCTAGGTGATTAAACTGCTTTTTAATCTGGAATTTGCCCAAAACAAAGGGCAAAGTGCACAGATGTGTGATATTTTTTCCCTTAGAGTCAATGAATTTTGTCCTTTAATCTTTTTTTTTATAGATGTGACTTTATGACATGAGACTGCTTTGTTGTAAATGAATTAAATATTTGCCTGAGTTCTGACAGCATTACTGAATGAATCATGAATCATGTACATGGAGCATTCAGAGGATACATTCTTTGAGTCAGTTTGGGTTTTCCCCCATCTTCCAAAGGCATGCTGTCTAGGTGGGCAGATGTTTACATTGTGCGTGTGTATGTGTGTGCGTGTACTCACAAAGCAATGTTTTGCCAGCATGTCCAGGGTGTGGTCCCGCTTGACACCCCAAGCTTCTGGGATGCTTCTGGGATAGGCTCTGTCTTGCTACAGTGCTTACCAGGAACAGGTGACTTTCTGATAAGGAATGAATGGATTCTGAGGCAGAAAAAAGTTTTGTTTGTTTCTCCCTCAATACCTACGATCCTGTTTTCAGAGAGCAACTGAGGTACTATTATAAGGAGTTTTTACAGAAACTCTTGTAAAATGGAAGACAAGTGTTATATTCCTCCAACTCCAAATTGGATACATGTCAGGATGTTTTTAGTGTCCCAGAAACAATTCTGCCAAATCCTAACAGGCCACCAGACATGACATTGTATGGAAACGTATCAACTAATCCCAGCACAAGAGTCCAGGTAACATCCATTTCCTTGGACTTCCTCATACAGCTTTGTTCCAAATATTGCAAACCTGAAATATTTAAGATGAAGACGGCTCACCTCACGTGCACAATCATGCTGTCGTCTTGTCTGATATATGAATATGCACATTTCAGGAAAGGTTATATTATCGTCCAAGAAACATCACTTCCAATGTGCAGTGAACACATTTCAGCTCAAATTAATTTCTAACTTCGCTCCCAGGCAAGATTACCTGACATGCATGTAATGAAAACTTTGTAACAGTGTATGACATAGTGTCTTGTCATGCAACTTCCAGCTGCAGTTCCTTAAAATATTCTACTAAGCCTAATGATGGTTTTACTGTTCTTCAGGGCACTGGGACATCTGAATGTCTAACTGTCTTGTTAGTAGAGGTGTGAGGAAATAGAAGCTTGGTGTTGGTTATACAAGCAGCAGTTTTACCATTTGTCATCCGCAGTCATTTTTATCAGAGGGATAGCTCAGTTTGCTGCCATGCAGTTTTATTTTTCCCCTTCAGCGGTACATACCCGGCATCTCAATCAATCAATCTTGCATCGTGCTGGTTAGAAGCCTAAAGGATCACTGCCTTCTGTAAGGGGGGATCTCTTCAGTAATGAAGGCTGACATGAGTGAATTCAGAACAGGGCTCGTGCAAAATTATGTCAGTCTACACTGGCATTCAGCTGAAGTCCTGACCCTGCAGGAAGTTGTCCTGTGATATTTCCTCAGCTCTGGAAAAGTAGAGGTGATATGGTATGACAGCAGGTGTTTCTGATCTGTGTCTCCGAAGGCTTAAGTTGAATGATGCTCGGTGTAGCTTACATAATACTGTACATCCATAAGTAGTAAACTTCGTTAAAATTCTTTATAACCTGTTTTCTAAAGAATCTGCATGTATGATAATACCGTATGTAGTGTTTTTTATATAATTATGTATTATAACAAATGATAATTAAAAAGTTAGGAATCCCAAATTGTGTTCATGTAATGTCTGTGGAAAACTGGTAGGTGGGCTGAAGTTTTGATTTGAGCAAAACTGTGATGTGTCTCATCACAGAACTAAGTGTGTTAAACCTGAGCTCTGGAATATCTGCTGTTGAGGGAAAGGGATTGTTAAGCGAGAGTGAAGATCCCCATAGAGGAATAAGCTCTCAATTAGCTCTCAAAAGAATGTTGCTTTAGCATCACTGCTGAATAGCAGTGTGCTGGGTGAATTTGTTCAACTCTTTTATTGATGTGCAATAGAATATTTATTCCAGTGTCCTTATCGCTGATGCTTTTCTTTTCTGTAGTCATATTTTTTTTTTCTTTTAAACCCGTATAATGTGGATGCCAAGGGGATGAGGGATTGTTACCAGAGCAACCCATTGTTGAACCTGAAAATACAGAGCTTGTTCCAGAACTTGGAACTTGGTAGTCTTTTTAATAGTTGGCTCTCAACCTTGAGCCGAGAAAAGAAACATTATTATTTTCACATACATAACAGTATTGTATAGCTTACTCTCAGTAGGTTGGATACATTTTTTATCTACATTGGGATCATCACCCCTGAAATACCTAAATCCATCTAAATTATTGTGTCATCTGGCACATGCAGATATTAGAGTAACATTGGTTTAGTATAATGGATTCCATCATTCACTGACTTAAGGTTTGGGAGACAGCAACACCCAGGTGACAGTTCTTGTGATAAAAATGTGCTGTTATCTTTCCTATGTAGTGCATATGGTAATTATATTGCTGGTGTCTGGGACATGGCTGCCTATTTATTTAAGAAGAGTGAAACTGCTTTTCATAGCTTTTCAAAAATCTCACCTTTTCATTGTGATAACATAGTGTGCACAGTAAAAGTTTATCATGCTACGTCTCTTCAAAACATTTGTTTTACATTGGTTTCTTGAACAGAGCAATTTTTGTATTTAGACACAGTTAATTACAAAATAATTTGCCTGTGTTTCATCTACCTGAAACAGTTCTTTGGTAAAAGAACATAGGTTTAATTAACTACTTTAAACATATCCCAATACACAAGTATTTAGTTATAGCAGAATAAGTGATAATTTGAATTGCAACATGTCTACATAATGTATTTAAAATGCATTTTAATGGCTAAGTTAAATTCATTTTAATTAAATTATGAATTCATAATTATTTAATATTTATAATATAATGCACAGTATTGCCTATTCTTAAAAATAGTTTGAACTTACTATTTCCCCATTTTTATTAAAATTATTTTTTATACATCCTTAATGTTTTCTGTAAGACGTAAGTGAAACCGAGACTTGCTCCTGTTAGTAATTCATTTTATTGTGTTTGTAAAGTAACTATGTACATAGGCAAGTTATCTGCTCATAATCATTTTCTCAGAGTTTTTGTGCTTGTAATCTAATAGCAGATTGGCCTGCTCCTTATTTACCATCAGTAGTACTGAAATAGGATGAGTTAATGCTTTAGGGATTCTCTTTGCTGTTTAGGATTGCAGAGCAACTATCCTGTGGAGACAAAAAAACACTAACCCAGTCAAGCTTTGAGTGACACAAAGAAAGGGAAGAGTGGATTAAGGCTTTTAATTAAAAAAAAACATTCAATGGTTTGAGGTTTTCAATAAAGCTGGATTCAATGGAGCTGATACAGCCTGTAACTCAAGGTCAGATGGTGATCCACAGAAGTGTCTACAGAAGTAAGTGAAAACTATGTACAGACCATCCATTTACAAAGCTTTGATTTTGGTATTAAAAATACTGTTTTTTTTTTCAGGTCCAGTCCACTACGAGTTTACTTTCTGTATTTTTGTCAAATTGCCCACAGGTATTGACAATAGGATTTGTAAGGCTGAAATCCATATTATTATTGAATTCCCCTGCTCCTCCAATCAATAAAACCATATATTAACTCGTGATTCTGTTTCTCCTTGTGACGTTATTTCAGGATTTTTATCATATAAGCACAATAGCATAATCTGCCCACAAGATGGCAATTGTGAGTCTACATACTTATTATGTTTTCTTTTTTTAACGGACATAAACACATACTTGCATTATATACTGATGAAAAATTTAGCAGTAAAAAATTAACAGTAGTAGAAGGGAGCATAATATTTATTTTCACCTTAAGTAGTCAGCAGATGAGTTTGTTGATTGAGTAGTCATGTTCCACAGAATAAAATACTGAGCTCAAGTCTCATAAAACCAGCAGATGCTCAATGTTTGTACTTCAGTTATTAAAATTATTAAAATGAGCTTAATCCATTGATTTTATACAGTATAAGCTGTCAAAAATCCTGAATTTAAAAAAAATTCATGATTTTTTATTAATGCAAGAGCAGCAAAAGCTATTACGTGAATAATAACAATCACCTGGATATTGGAATGATTCAAGGAGAGATGTTGCCTAGTGAATGAAATATTCTGCTTCTACAATCAAACATCAGGAAACTGACTCGGTGATAGGCTACTTCCTGGAAGACAGAGTATCAACACACCAATCCAGGACCATTATGTCTATCTTATACATCTGTGTAATTGTTTGCAGTCTGCAGTGGCTACAGCCAGAAACAATATAACTCATGCATCAACAGAATGACTAAAGCTTACTATTTGCATACAAATGACTTGCAAGCTCTGAGGACACTCAGGGGTAAACTTAACAGCTGAATGACTAACTCACCATCTTCTGTGGTCCAGAGAACATCTGATTGTGGTGGAGTGTTTTATCCACCAATAAAAGACAGAAGATGTCACAGTGAGTGTTAAGCTGACTGCCATAGTGTTCAAGCCAACTAATAGGGCAGTGATGATGACGAAGGGAGACGTCACCTATAAAACATAAAAATGCTTTGCACATTGCAGGCTGCTTTACTGTTCAACTAAACAAGCCAACAGCTTTTTAAAGTTTTTTCCATCCCCATTAGCCAGGGTGGGGGGTGTTGAGTTCCAATTGGACAATGCAAGTCTGGATAGTGCCAGGCTTATAATGGCAGAACTTCAGGAAAACAATGTCAAAATCTTGGTATGGCCAAATTTAGGTCTTGACCTGAATCCAGTAGAATATTTGCAGGCAATGCCATTAACAGGACTTACAAATGATCCACCTTTGCCAGCTGGCTCCAGCACCACTGGAAGAGAGATGGAACATCCCACAGCAGTCTACCAGAGGCTGATCAGGTCATACTTGAAACTAATTTTGAAATGCTTTCATTTCGACAGTGTAACATTTCATGCTGGAAACTTATCAAACAGAAAATGTGAAAAAAATACTAATCAAAGAATTGTGATATTGACAGGATAGCCCAACTTGGTATTCAAAGGCTACTTACTGTCCTACAAGGTTTAATAGCTTTTTTTAAATCTCAAGCTTCTTAAGAACAAGGAAAGGCTTCAGCTTCAATAATGTGATTAAGGACGCAGATGGAATTAAATTATATTTTGATGATATTAGGGCAAAAAAGAATTTGTAGAAATCCTAATTTTGAAATATTATGATGTTTGCGAGTTGCACTTTTTGAATGCCCCAAATATAAATTTACAAAATTAAAAAAGTGACCAGTTTCTAAAGATTATGAACACTTATAATTTATTATTGAAGCAAATATGTAGTCTAAGGGCTGAAAGGTGGATTTGTGTCTCATATAATCTCTATTTCAAATCACTTGATTTAACTCCTCTGCTTAATTGATCACAATGGAATTTTGCCACACCTTTACAAATAGGAAATATTTATGGTGGTCTTCAATACTACTATAAATAATAATACTAATAATATTACTACTAATACTACTACTACTAATAATAATAATAATAAAAAGTTGCCAACTACATATCAACCAAACCTCTCATATATTTTACATTAATTCACTAATCTTGCACCACAAAATAATCACATACTTATTCACAGGTGATGTTATACTTAAAAATATTTAATTAAACCCATTAACCCCAGGGTTGCATTTCTTTTGTGTACCTATATATACAACATACTCATTTTCATGTAGCAGTTACAGATGCTTTAATAATCTGCAATTATCAAATGGATTAACATCCTTAAGCATATAATCTTATTAAAATACATGTGAATGGAAACAAATTCTAAACTCACTGTGAAAGTGTCAGTAAGAAAGACATGGTTGTTACACATGGAACTGACATTGGACCAGCATGTAAATAAAGGATCCAGAATACCAAATGTGCTGGCATGCCCTCAGTACAAACAGTGTGGGGACTTGAAACCAGGCCATTACTCACAACACATCTGATACAGAAAAGGTAACATTGCACTTAGGCAAACAGAATATGCTGCAGCTTTATTGACCTATGTGACTTCAGCGCATATTTTAACTTACACTGGTGTCATGCCAGACATTTCCTTGAACTTCAGTCCTTGTTCTTTCTTCCTTGTTATTGGTATGATCTGGCCAATCGAGCCAAGGGTGAACTGGGACTGTGTTCTTGACGAGTTTGACATAGCTTGTTATCTTATTCATCAGAAATACAAACAAAGCCAGAGTTCAGAGCTTGCAATTGATGTTTTCTTGTCAGTGCCGAGATGTAATTTTAGGACCCTTTCGTAATGAATAAAACACATAAGAACATCAAACGCTTTTGTTGTTGCATGTTTTTTTTAACATTGTAGGACCCATAGTTGATTAGTTGATTACCACAGGGAGTGGCCTTCCATTCCTCATTTAGATCAGGCATTGAACCTTGGAACAGAACTCAGCAGGATGCTGCTTTCATTTAAACTGGAATCCTTTATGGTACTTAAACACGTTAGATCCTTTAGACATTTGTTAGCTTCTTGAAAATGCTAGTATAAATTCTTTGGAAACTTTGTTGAACTTCTTAACACCATTTTAGAACTGTTTCCCATACAAGAAGGAATACTTTTTTTTTCAACAGAAAAAAACACACCCTCTCTTCCAGGATGTAAAACAATGAAAATGGCTGAACAGAAAATTGTACAACAATGTGCAACATCAAAAATTAATTGATTGGATTTTAGGTTTGAATTTCTTTAGAAAATTAATTTTAGGATTTATGTTTCATATATACAGTATGGAGTGAAAACCAGACACATGCTCTACAGTCTGCCTGCTATCGTCTTAAAAATAAGCTGCAGACATTTCCAATGTAGCAAAGAAATCATAAATAAAAGGCAGCAAAAGGTCCTACAGTATATACAGTATAGACAAACATGATATGCTACACTAAATAAATCAGCAAACTATTTATGTGATAAATCTTTTATTTCACAGAATTACAAACATGGATAGTGACAAAAACAGCTTATTCTTTATATTGTCGTACACAAAAAAAGCACAATATACATTTACACGGGGCTTCTTTTAAACTAAAATTATCAAAACCAACAATGGGACTGACAATTTTATGAAAGAGCTGCCTATTAAACAATTTAAAGGGAACAGTTGCCAGTTTTTGGTAGAAATGCTTAATGCAAATTGTATATCATACACAAGGTTCAGTAACAGGTAAGAAAATTGCACTGTAAATGAATGACCATCGAAGAAATAGAGGAAGGGACTACCTCATTTACATAACCATAACTACCTAGATTCTTTTCCCTTAAGCTTTATACCACCAAAAAGGAAATGCATGTTTCAGCCACTCATCAGTTTACCCATTGCACTAATACAAGCAAATACAGTATGCAATGTTACTTTGTCAGAATGATCCGAGGTAGATCCCTTATTGATACAGGACATTTTAATAATATGATAAGCATAAGATCTGCTAAACCATAAAAAATGATTAATTTGAATGTCACATTGTATATGAACAGATATATCCTGACAACAACATCTCCACACCTATCAAATTCGTATTTTTAGTGGTGTTGGGAAAGGGGATTTCTTTAAGTTGGAACATGTATTCCTGCCACACACCTAGCAAATACAATTCTACATCTTTTCACAGTAGACACATTAGTCGTGTGCTTACAGCGATGAGAAGTGAACCTAGGGCAATGATAAATGAGAGAATTACTAGTTTCAGTGCTTCAAGCAAGAAAAAAAAACATTGACCTATTTACCACTTTAGTACAGTGCTGACAGATGATGTTAAAAGAAAGATAAAAAACATTTTTTACTGTGGAAAACAACTGAAAACCATAGTTAGTCAACAAAGTATAGCTGTTAAACATAAAAAGATAGCTCATAAAACAAAAACATGTCTTGGCAATCCAGAAACTAACGAAAACAAAAATACTGTACTTTTAAAAATAATTGCTATTCATCTGAGAAATATTAAAGTACTAATGGATTCATCAATTTTGTATAATCAATGTGATACTCTTGAAATATTGTAAAACAGAAAGTTGGACATTTGGACTGATTCATACTGTAAAACACCCAATAAATGGATCTTTTAAACTGCAGAGTCTAGTTATAATTTTCTATGACATGTTTTTTAAAGTTATAAATAAATGGGAAATATTAACAGTTAAAAATACTAATTTCACTTTGTGAGGTTCATTGCCAGGTTTTTGATGGTGTTGTGCAACATTCTTAAATAAACTACAACATTTGTAGTTCTAGTACTGCAAATATTTATACTAGCAAAAATATGGCCTCAAAGGCATCAACTAAAAAAAACACCATAATTCTCGGTTTTGATACAGGAAAGCAAGTGGGTCTGCTGCTTGCACAGCGCCAACGTATCTGATCAACACCATAACCTAATTTAACAACCTTTAGCATCCTGAAATTATTACTGTGGAAGATGGGTTTTAACATTGAGAAAATGTCTGTGTTGATTCAAGAACCTCGACAGACAAGCTTTAAAGTGTAACCCTTAATCTCTTTCAGTGGATGGGAACAAAGGAAAAACACCAGCTCCATTAATGATGGCCTAGACACATTTTGAACTTACACTGATCACATGTATTTCTACTCTCTCATGACGTTACCTTCAATTAGTAAAACAAAATACCCCTGCTGAACACCTTTCAAAACTCCACATCTTCAAAGAACACCAAGAGGATCAAAAGACATTTTAACTTAATACTCCGTGTGGTGGCAACACATTTTTCAACTTGTTTTGCTTGTAACCATTAGAGCTGTAAAACAAAGTATACAAATGTACAAATACAGGCACTCACGTTAGGATATCAGAAAAAGAAACAGCATACGTTGAATCACAATAGTGTAATGCTGATAATACATACTTGCGGTACGCACCTTTTCTAAAATTTTATAGTAAGGTCCATTTCGCAAACCTTTAATTAAGTCAATGAATATACATAAATGCCTCAGGACATCTATTTCATTTAACATCACTATTTAATACACACAGCTCAATAACATTGCATCTTCATTAATGCAACATCTGAAAAAAGAAACATTCTCCACAAACATTAAATAAACATCTGTCTGAAATATCAGAGCAATGTTACAGATTTATACTCCTGGACTTTTAAGATGCAACACCTGCGACATGTACTGTTGTGATACAAATATGCCTATGTGTCGTCATCTGTACGTGAATACTCCAGTCTGCTATTTAATACAAGTGTTTTTCATTTTTATTGCGCTCATTACTTTAAGATTGTAGGTATGCCTGCATTGAAGCATGCAATGCAAATGGGATCATCTGCCAGCTACTACTGATAGATGTAACTGAAATCCATTCAAAAGGGATTAAAGGGGCACAAAAGAAAATGGTTTACTAATTATCTGGACAAAATATCAGTTTCATAATGTAGATTTCACAATCTGCAGAATACCAAACTAGTATTAATGTAGGAGTTGAGTGTGGTATATAAAAATTGAAGGAAAAAAATTGGGATAAGTAATTTGGTCAGAATGTTTGAAAGGGTGATGTATATTAGTAAAAAAATATTTCTTTAGTTTCAACAAAGATTGGTCCAAATTAAACACATTGCAATTTAAGCTCCAAGTTAACTATTACACACCAATATAACATTGGTTGGTAACCTGTTTTGGAAAAGATCAAATAAGTTCAACCTTTTCTTTTAGTAAGACCTAATATTTACTTGCTTTTTTAATAGCATTCAGGTTATATATTTATATAAACCATTTTATATAAATTTATAAACACTTTTTAGCATACTTCCATATAAGATTTACTTGGAGAAAGGTTAAACTGTTACAATAAAATGGAAGGACTGCAATACTAAAAACAACCCATATTAAAATTGGGATTTCATTTGAAACTTAAAGGATACAAATGCATCTGTTCACATTTTAGCAGAGAATTATTGATTCATCATAGAAGCCACATAGCAGCCAGAAAGTTTTTGACAAATATCACAATTGCAAATCAGCTATCTTTACCTCCGACTCCAGAGACTCCACAGCACACTGAACATAAGACCTATTACAATCAGTTAGTTATACTACCCTCTGAGATAAACTGGCAGGTACCTGTGCAGACGCTGAGCTCCATCCAAGAAAACACTTTTCCACTTCCCTGTAGAGTACTCAAAACAAAATTAGCTCCTAGCATTCAACATTAAACTTACTGCAACAGGACAATCTCAGTAATGAACACCCCCTTTTTTCTCCTCCATGATATTCCAATATGCACAAAATCACTACAATTGAGATTTCTGCACCCTGCCCACTAGACTTCTTTGTGCCTGAAGAGTAAATCCTGGTTTAACCTGCAATCTTTGACAGCACGTTTATTAAAACATATTCCAAATACAGAAAAAAAAAACATTAGATGGGGTAATGCAAGAAGAAATCCAGTGGGGTAATGCAAAGATCTCTTACTGTATTTCCATGTCCTGCACTGGAAGTCAAAACCATCTTGCAGTGCTGTTCATGAACTTCATTTTTTCTTTTATGCGTTGCTGTATGAGCCTGCACTACAATCCCATCGCCACTGTACTGATCTCTCTTTAGTAAAAACTGCTTTTCTTCTGCTAAATTCAGGGATCAGATCTTCCCTCTAGTTTTCAGAACAGGTGCTTTTTAACTTGTTGTTTTATTGTGCTTTTTTGCTTAACTACTCTTTTTTAAAGTACTTTCAGCACTTAATGTCTTAATTTCAGAAAATACCGTACTTAAAAAAAATCAGTTTTCTTGTTCCATTATTGCTCCCCCATAACAGTATGAACACTTAGTGTGCAACAGTTAAGTAATTTTCATATTTGAAAAATCTCATACTGTAAGAGTCCATAAGGGTTATTTTAGAATTTTCCAAATTTTCTAAATTATTAATCACACAACTATGAAACAACAGAGCTTGAATTGTCTTTTCAATAACTGTCAACAAAAATACAAGATGCAAATGTTAATCATACCAAGAGATGTGTTGTTTACATAGGCTAAAATAAACAATATGTAGTTATGTACTGTACTGTAATCTTGTGATTAACAAGTTTGAATTTGTTTAAAATGTAAAAAGGGGAGCATGATATAATTATTAATCTTGATTGCATTAAATCAATAAAATCATTATTATTAGTTTCATCATGAAGCACAAACCAGAAAAAACAAGTGGAAACTAAATAGAAGTGCATTTAAAACCGAGATCAGGAAGTATTTGTTTATGCATTGGACTGTAGGTCTAAGTCTAAAACAATGCATCTAAACTGAAACTCATCAAATAAAATATGGCTGACTTGTAATCTGGACCATCTTTAAGAACTCAAAAGAATAAAAATATCAAAGCGTAATAAATGAGCTGAGGTTGGATGAAAACAGAAGAGACAGGGATCCCCAGTATCAGGACATTTTAAGCAGAAGAGATGCACACCACTGAGCATTGTCATAAATTACAAACACCCATGAAATATATGTTTTAAACAGTGAAGGGTGCTGTGAATGTCTCATTAACAATACCCCAGTGGAAGAATTTTTCCACAGGCCTTAATTAAAATCTGTCTTATTCCTCCGTGCTTCAGAACTTTGAGGCGTTTTCATTGACACACTGCTTAATGTATTGCACAAATTGGTGCTCTCACTTTCAGCAGACCTTAGTGGCCTTGATATTTTTAGCAATGCACCATGAAACACTAAACATGTCAGATCTAACTGCACATATTTCTTTAAGAATATAAAAATCCTAGGAAGGTTGTGCATATGGTCATTTAAAAAAACATCACCTAAAAGTGCTGACACACAAACAAGTTGACTCCAAACAGGCAATACTACTGAAATATCCTGACAATTCAATACATCAATGACAAAAAAAAAGAACAATTAGTGGACAGAGATATTAAAGACCTCAGCACATAATACAAAGCACAATTCCTCTAAACTGAAAACACTGCACATGCAGTATTTTCTAGCTTGTATACCTCAATTCTGCTTGTACCTTCGGACATACAGTAAAGGTATGTTTTTTAAACTTTCTGCTTGAAAAAATCCTGTCAGCTTCCATCTTCACCAACTCAACTTCAGCTTGAAAACCATTACTCCAGTATCAACCACAATTGAAAACAGCAGCAGAAAACTGATTAAGTACAGTCAATTACAAAATGTTTCCTACCCTTTAAAAGCTAGACGTTTGACATTTTATGCAAGTTTGATTCGAGCCAAAGCATATCATTGACCACACCTGTCTGTGGACCAGGCTCTCAGAACACGAAAATATGTATTATTCGTTTTTTTAAATGTCCCCTTCTCCTGTATCCAGCATGGAAGGAAAAATGAATGAATGGTTAGCTTTAGATCCAATCCCCATTCCAGCCAAGCCAGTGAATTGAGCATGGAGTTGTCTCAGAAGGGTGTAATTAGGCACTGGATTAACTGGTAGACCAATCAAGTCTTCAACTGGTCCAACAGTTCGATTTCCTTTCCAAGTCCATGTGTGCTTCTTTGATAAACTCCCCAGAGGATCCCTTACAAAGATGAGAGAAATCCTACAACCGATACTGAGTCCATGCACACTGCACCAAACTCCAAACAGGCCATGCTGTTATTTAGAAATTGTCAAACTGTAGCAGCTGTATTGCATTTCTGAGACAAATGTGTTAAAACCACCTGAAAACTGTCAGAGAATTGGTACGCAAAACGCCTCTCACCTGACTTATCAATATCACCAAGAGCAGTGGCTCCAAGCAATGGGGTTTTTGCTTCCAACTCATTTTTTTAAAAGCTAGAAAATAATACCTGTAATAATGCCCCCAAATCTAATTTACTTAGCAGAATAGCAAGATTTTTCACAGCAGTCCAAGATAGAATCATCAGAATGAAAGGCATGCAGAGATCTGTCCAAAATGTTACAGGATGACCAGGTTTTCAAGTGATGGTGAGTAAATATACTGTAGGTCCTTCGAGTATAAAGCTGAAGGTGCTGTTGTAGTCTCCGATCATTGTGCTACAAAGTTGCTGCATATCTATAAAAACCACTGAAAAAGTGGAAACTGAAACCTGAAACCATTACTAGCACCACAAGGCACTTGAGAAAAGTGTTGTGGATCTCATGCCTTGAGCCTTGCTCTGTTTTATTGCTTTTACTGGCAGTGGTGATACTGGCAGAGGACACCCTATAAGGGTTGACATTGGAAAACACCAATCTGTGCATCTAGAAATAAAGAAAAAAACATTATCAGAACCTTTTTAAAGATGTTTAAAAATGTTAATTTCTAATCATTATAAACTGCATCTGTGCCATGCAAATTACAGACTGGAAAGTGATACAAAAAGCACTGTTAAATCACAGGGGTATATACAATTCTGGTAAATCACTGAAGACAGTTCAGAGAAATGTAATGGAAGATTTGTTCAAAATCCCAGTGTAACAGTAGTTTAGGAGCAAAAGGAGCAGATGGGTTCTCATTAGTAACCTTACTTTCTTATGTTTTTATATGGCATGTCTAATGCAACCAGTAATATTGAAACATTAACTCTGTTAACTTGGATTTTGTGGGAGCTGAAATCTCTAGAACTGGAACATTTTAAATGTAATTGCTGCTGACATGAGGTACGTGTTTGTCAGTGTGAGTTCTCTTGTAGATCTTGAAGTAGAAAATAAGACTCTCAATCAAAAGTCAGTTGCTTTACGGATGAAGCCTCATTTTCATCTCCTTCAGGGCAGTACTAAACAGAGATTATACATTGAAACTGAAGTATACAAAGACTGAAGGTGTGCTTCAGCTGATGCTATGCAGTCTTATTTTAACCACAAATGCTCTAGGATCAGAAAAGCAGGAACAATGTTTGAAGCACAGTTTTTTTACACTTATTCGAATAATTACTGGCTGTGTTTCTAAAGGGGCATGGGATAACAAAACATGAGAGGTTTTGTAACTGAAAAGACCCCCGAGGTGAATTATTTATCAAATTTCCTTTGAATCATCACAACAGTAAGATTTTGCTTTCCTGCAGAACATGAATAATTAATATCTGAGCCTCACCCTGGGTAACAGGAAAAAGGCTTAAATTTCAAGTGTGAATGCATGAATAGCTATAATTACTAAAAGCATTTTTATAGTTCAGTGTACATTTCCTTTGTTCAAGATTTTTCCTCCAGCCTTCACTTTTCATCTTCAGTTGTTAAGGTATTACAAGCACTTTGCCCTCCGCAAAACAGAGTTCTGTTTTCACTACTGTGATTCATTTTCGCCAAAAGATGAATAGATCAAAATAAGACATTCACGTTACAAAACAAAGCTCGGCAAAAATTCACAGATGAGCTTGAACAGCCTGACACCACTTGTTTTCGGTAAACTCAAAATGTCAATCAAGCCATACAGACTGCCAAAAGACAAAATAGACATATTTCATTTTTGTGTCATCAAATGTCAGTCTGTTTTAATATTCACTTTCAACTGTAATACAAATGAGTCATACTTGTCCCTCACAACTGAAGGATACTTCATGATTACCCTTTAATGAAAATGTTGGTAACTTAATTATCTCTTACAGAAATTTGATATTGAAATTACTGGAGTAAAATAGACTCAGCTGTGATTGAGTCTTATTGAGTGGGCTCCTCAAGCACAAACGATACACTAACAAAATATCAGCTACGGTTCCCCTTCTTTTCAGGGGGCTGCAAGCAGTGCACTGAAATACGAAAGAAAATCTTGTAAACTTTGATAAAGACAAAACATGTTTCATGACTTTATACTTACGCACTAAATTGGCAGTGACTTCATCTTCTTCATTGAGGTAAGTTCCTGCTTTGTTGCCTCTTCCTTCCCTTTACGTTTTAACCTGCAATTACCAAGAAAGACAAGCTTAGAAATCACTGGGTTGACAATCACTGTCAGGGTGAGATTTACTGTGGTTCTACTCATATCATTGTTGTACAGGACCAGCAAATAACTGTTAGAAAATACTTAAAAATTACAATAAAATGTCAGAGTGGTTACAAACACTAACTAAAGAGATGTGTAGCTAGATGAGTCTGATTTTCTTCATTGGACTTGGTTTCAACACTGTTCCAAATTATCTCTAGTTAATTGTAGCACTTTATCAAAACACTCAGCATAAACTAAGAAGCATAACCTCAGCACTATGCTTTAAAAATACCCAAATCACATTTTGTACAGTGTAAGAACAAAATACAGCAGCAAAACAATATGGCTATTCCAGCCATGATTTTTGTCAACGAAGGTCTGACATGAACTGTTGCATGCAGTTCTGTATTAGGAATAAGAACAGCAAGTGCAATGTATTGGGGTTGACATAATAAAATCTCCATGTCTGACATAATAACAGCTTTAGATGATAATAATTTAGGACCTGTGTGCTTATACTCGACTAAAAATTTCATTTCATTATGGAAGAATATATTTAAATGATATACTGTATAAAGCCTGAATGTGTGCGATTCCCTATCCCTCTAGTTGTCCCCGTTAGACTATTTTTTAAATAAAGAGCATAAAGTGAACACAGGTCAGTCAAATGGCATCTTGAGTGCTGAAATCCCTCAAGATTCAACTGAGATTCTATCTCCAGAATGCATGGAGGTCAACCTTTAAGTCACACAGTCTAAACGCCTACTTTCACTACCTTGTGATATATGGGATGTCATAAAGCCCCTAGGGAGACGATTTTCAAGCCCTCCAGGAAATATACTTTTACTTTGCCGAAATTGTATAACCCAGTTTCTAAAAACATTCTACGCTAATATTACAGACACTGCTACTGCTGGGTAAAACATTGCAATACAAAACTGTTTTAAAATAACCATAGTACATATGCACATACATATATATATATAAATAAGAGGAAATAATAGTTACTTATAACTGGGGCCAATTTTTCCCAGAACCCAATTAACCTACAGTACAGTACACGTATGTCTTTGGATTGTGGGAGGAAACTGAAGAAATCCACATAAATATGGATGGCGAGAACATCCAAACTCCACTCAGCACCCTAGGTCCAAATCAAACCCAGGGCCCCAGCACTGTGAGGCAGCAATGCTAAACACTCCACCGTGCCGCCCCAGTAACAACTTCAGCTCAGTAAATTCTTTGATTTTTCGGTTAACTAGCCCAAAGGAATGAGAACATTAGTAGCATGACAATGAAAACCAGCTGTGAATTCCCTGCCTTTACATTTGTTTTTATATTTTGTTCACCAAGAGCTATTTCCAAGCTATTCTAAGACACGGGCACAGACATACAGACTCTAAAGACTTATTTTCAACACTGAATCCTCAAACATTAGTGTACCCACAAAATAAGAAAGACATGTTAAATCCAAAAAGTGTATTTATTCCCTTTATCTTAAAAGGCAGCACAAGGTGTGTGTATTGCTCAGTTAATTAATAACTAGTTACCAATCACGTTGTGCATGTTATATGTAACCGTGTTATTCTTTCCTTCTGCTCAGAGTGCGGTGTATTGCTAATTGCCTGAGGGAACCTTTCTAAAAGGGGGTTTGTGTGTAGAGGTACACATGTGATACACCAAATACTTCTTAACAAGGTGCAACATGTTTTTGCTTCCCCCAGGGCGGATCTTCTGGTAAGAAGTATGAAGAGTTATTCTATTTAATCAGAATAGGTTTCATAATAGCAAATATAAATGCTGATATATCACATAGGTGATAAAATGCCAGCGTGCTTCTCAAAAAGAGTAGGGGTGTTACCCTGGCATCCTGGCCAAATTTACCATTTTTTCTTTACCAATAATGGCCTCCTAATAATCCCCATCTCTAAATTGGCTTCATCACTCTGTTTTCCTCCCCACTGATAGCTGATGTGTGGTGAGCGTTCTGGCGCACTATGGCTGCCGTCGCTTCATCCAGGTAGATGCTGGAGGTGGTGGAGGGGAGTCCCCATTACCTATGAAGTGTTTTCAGTGGAGTGTCCAGAAACACACTTATAATTAGTATTACATTTTTTTTAATTGGTTGTGAGTAGTATGTAGCAGAGACCAAATTAATAGATTTGTATGCAAGTGACGAATTAAGAAATTAACTAATTTTAATTTGGAGTAATAAAACACACACCAATGGATCATCAGGTTATGTCTTTGAATCACAGAAGGATTTTTTCATAATTCTTGGAAATCTAGAAAACTTTCTATATCTAGAGCATAGCCATCACATCACAAGCTGAAATCTTGTGTGCCCAAAGGGAAAGCAGAGGCTGCTGTTCATTAAAAAAAGATGCCTGTGCAACAGCACATCTCACCAGATCAAAACAACAAAGAAGGCCAGCAGAGCCAGAACTACTCCTGCAAACAGCCCGAGAGAGATGAGCATTCCCAAATCGCCATAATGCTGGATACGTACATCTGAGGAGAGACAAAAAAACAAGAATAATTAAAGGGACAGAGTTTAAAAACACACAAGCAGCCCGCAAGGCTTTTGATGCGAGTTTGAACTTCCTTGTTTAAATTTAGCACACAGGCACGTACATGTTGGTGTTTAATAGGTCTCTTTTCCTGATGTGATACTTCTCTTCTGTTGTGCATATTTGCTATCTACAGTACATACTACACACACGTGCTCACAGGGATTAGTAATGCCATGTGAATGAAATGCTTGAAATGTTATGACTGCAGCATCCTCTTCACAAAATTCGGTTAAGCCTTTTGTCTCTTTAAATACTATATATAGCTGAAACCCCTCATTATAATTTAAACCACCAAGGCTAGTCTTTATCTTTGAATTTTTCCAAATCTTCCACTGCAGTGCTAAGAAATACGTGACTAATAACTGAATGTATGAGCGAGAAAACTGTTAGGAAAGTTTTGTCTTCTCTCTCCTTTAAAAAAATAAACTGCTGAGCTTAAAAAATAAAAATGATTAAAAGTGATTTTAATCTTATTTTAGTTTGACATTAACAGCATTAATGGTTGACTCCTTGGTGTGCATATGTGCTTGTGTAATGTTCAGAAAGGTTATAACCTTAAACCAGGAAAACCATATTTCAATATGAAGGATGATGATTTTGCTTTTCATAGGTATTGAAAGTTTAAGACATAATTTGACAACCACTGCCAGAAGTTCTTAAGTACTTCTGTAGAACTGGGATTTATGTTTGGAGGTCTAATCAGAGCTACATGTACAGTACGTTACAAACAGGAAAGTCAGTTTGAAAGCACTTCATGGCCTTAATGTCAAGACTATATATGACCTCAGAAAATCAAGGTTTTAAAACAGTTCTGTTAAGTATATATAGCTATAGGTAAAAGACTGCTCTTAACCAGTAAAAGCATGTTATTGTATTCAAAAAGGACAAAAGTTAATTCAGCCAAATTCTAAAGAAAGATTGTCTTGAATTTTGCCAACACATCAAGACACTGTTTTCATTATATAAGCACTAGAGTTTTAAAAAATTGGGCAGAGCAAAATTGACGTCTTAAGGCCCTAACCGCTGTTTTAAACCAAGCACATTCTTTTACTGTGATTACAAAACAATTTGCTAGAAATTATTTTTTTCTTCCCATTTGAAGTCAGGATTTTAAAGGTCTGTTTGTTGTTTGGAAAGTAAATTGCACTGCACAAACAAACAGAGAGAGACTCACTAATGGAAACAAAGGTCTTTCTAGCTCTTAAATGTAGACTTACAGCAGTATTAAGCCATGAGTATTAAGCCACTCAACAAAAGCATCAGCTTTTAATTTCAGGCATGTAGATATACACTGTAGTTAGGTCTAGCTCCAAATGCTTTCGAAGAGAAAAAGGCACAATACATAAAACAAACAGTACCTGATGCATTTTCACTTACTGTTGTGGAAAAAACAATATAATAATTCTATGTCAAGTTATAAGACACTACAATATACTGTAGTTTATACAAGTTTGTTGCAGCTCACGTAAGATTTCTTATGGGAACTTCAAATGTTTATTTTATGCTTTCTGTGAACATGGACCACAGGTTTATTTGTCTTGCAGTTATTTTTTACATATAAAATAATTTCATTTTGAATGTAGTGCTGCCATACTAGACATAGAAAAAGCTTACTTTAAAAGGTAAAATGAACTCCTTTTCACAAGGATCAGTGCTACATATAAAGTACATTTCAAAATTCTGTATATAACTGCATACAGTAAATATGAATTTTAAATCAGTTAGTCCACTACAACATTTTACCATTATTTACTACAACCATTTACTGACTGTTCAAGAAACGTAATAGACATACCAATTAAAAACAAGTATAGTGGGACAAACAATATTCTACATAATAAATGTGTATATCAGTCTGTTTTAGATGATGCTCCTAACATTTACGTGTAAAATAACACTTAGGGTTTAAAACCTTGGTTCATCCTGTGGTGACTTTACCTGTTTTCGGTGTTGCAGATTCTTCAACAATTTCAGTACCCCAGTCTGAATCCTGAGCAGAAGCTGGTGTAACAGTTGGTTCTAAAAATAAAGTAAAAAGAATAATAGCAAATAAAAAGCCTGATAGACAAATCAGGCAAAACCTCTCACAAGCTGTGTGTGGGCAGTGATTCGTGTAAGCTATTTAGAAGGCTCCTTTTCACCCTAAAGATAGCAGAAATTCATCTGAATCAGTTAGAGTACTTAGAGTACATAGCCCCTTAGACTGCTGATTTTCTGCATGATTTCTGGAAGTCAGCTTGTGGCTGAGTAGCAAGCAAGTGATAACACATGATAGTACAACACAAACCCTAAAATGAACTATTCCTGTAACACAAATGGTTTATTTTAGCAAAGGAAAAAGGTGATAGATAGCTTATGGCTTTCAAATGGCTTTAATGAGGAAAATAGAAAAAATACCCATTTGCCACATAAAATATTAGCTGTTACACTTCTTGCCTCCAGAGTTCTGGCACATGGATACTCTGGTGTAAATGACCTCTGCAGAACACTTAGTATTTCAGTCATGGAAGAATTAACTCTGCAAGCTGGTAAGTTTGCAACCATCTAAACACTTCTAAAAACTTTTAGGATTACAGGGATGCTTATTAGTTGTAAGCATGACTGGGGGATGTATGCTCCAGTTTTCTCAGAATGCATTCTGCAAAAAAACTAAACTCATACCCTCAGAAGAACAAAGCTCTACCCTTAAAAACTTAAGAAAAAGAAAGACAGGGGATTTACACTCTTTAAATATGCACAGAGGAAGACAGAGAAAACTATTTTGCCTATTGTACCTATATAGTAAAATAGAGTACAATACATTTATTTGAATGAGCTGGACATTATCCTAGATGCACAGATTTCCTTTTTCCTAACTACACCAAAGACTTTCTGACACAATTCAGGCATAAGAAAGGAAACTCCTTCACAGAATAAGATGTGATTCAGCGTTTTAAGTAAGATGGTTCAGGATCATCACCAGTAGTATAATATACACTGACATTTTCTATCACTTCCTGTACTAGTACAGATTAATTTCTGAAGCCTGTATAAAATTCTGTTCTTGTCAAAAAGACAAAATTGGACCATGCTGCCTTCAGTGTGATAACCTTCCTTTTGTTTGTTAATGATAACTGTTTAGTCTTTCCTCTTGTCAAGTCTCCATACCTATCCAAGGTAAGGCTTCCACTTCTGGACTCCATTCACTCCAGTCCCCATTGTCGAAGTCATCTTTTGCCTGTACTTGGATTCGGTGACGTTGACCAGCTAATGCATCAGTTATTATTAGGTTTGTGTCTGTCGTTTTCACCTAAGGAACCAGAAAGCATATTTCAGCATAAAATAAGGTATGGGTGAGGGAAGCTTTCTGAACTGAAAAAATACCACCAAAAAACATCTTGCTGTATTTGAAAAACCCAGTATACTGTATATGTTACTAATTTCTCATCTTCTAGTAATCCATTTCACACCATAAAAGGTAAATACTGAAAAATTATCATTCTTTCCCTGGAATCAAGGATCACAGCAAAACCAAGCCTATTTCTGAAACACTGGGCACAAGGCTGAACTATACAATTGGACAGGGACTGAACACCAGGCCGTCACAGGACACACAGACTCACGGACAATTTAGATACATTAATTATCCTTTCTAGAATGTAATCACAAGTTAATTGCTGTGAAACTTTGGGGAATTCTTTATGTGTTTGATTACTTAGCATTTGTATCTCCATTTTCACATGATTACAATTTGAATGTGTATAGTTAAATAATTGCTCTGTTGCAACTGTCAAGCTAATAAAGGCTACTGATAAAAGAATTTGAATCAGTTACATTAAAGGTACAGAAATGCATTGTAATTACACATATAACTTCCATGCATTTGTGTTATAAACAATAAAACTATACATACAATAAACATGTATTTGCTGTGTTGATACAGCATATTAACTGATGTTAAACTCTGACAATAACTTTTTCCAAGATGTGATAAAACCGAAAGGCAGGTTAAAACAGACAGAAAACAAATCTTTACGGATACTTCTATATCAATCTTACTTGACTGCTGCTGTTACACTTGCATTCTATCTTATCCTAATCCATACATAGTGTTATTTATCTGAGTGCACCATTATGTATTTTAATATGTACACTCATGTGGCAGGCATAGCAGGACCAATTTCACCTCCAAAGAAAAAACAGCTGCCAATGAATGACTTTTCTTAAAGCAAAATAAGTCTATGTGTGGCCGGTTTTGTCAAAAAGATGTCATTAGATTATTTCACAAGTTTGTCCAAGGGACAAGGTTTTGGCTGGTTTGTGTAAATACAACAAAGCACAGAACAATTGTAACCTCAGGCATGTGTCATCTGACCACACAACCACCGCCGGCTGACCTCCATGCAAACCCAAACACAGAACTCACCAGGGACCAGGCCGCTGACCCCACAGGCCTGTGGCGAAGCTGAAAGCGGAGGGCAAAGTGCTTCTCATTGATCCACGAAGAAGGATACTGCCACTTCACCTCCAGTCTTCTTGGCTGGCCAGGAACAGGCTGTACGATCACCCCTTCAGGAGGATCAGGCTTCACTGTAACACGACACAGATACACACAGGCCACTGTCAGTTTTATACACACACACAAACACACGAGGCCACTGCCGGCCTACGTGACCGCATGCAAACGCAGCCTGGTCAACTGCCTCGTGCCTGCCAGAAGCAACAGCTGAGTTTACTGAGAAAGTTAGAGAGATAAATAGAGAACATGTCATTTTTTGTGTTAGATCAGTGATGTTAATGAATCCCAGAGTAATACAAATGTTTCTATACAGATTATCACAGCTCCAGTTTTTGCAATTTCAGCTCCCGTTCTGTAAATCTATCCAGTGGTGTGTTGTCTCTGAGCTCATGTTAGGATTGCCGGGCATCAATTTCACTTTCAGGATTTGCCCAGTTTACTCTGATGCCACTGCATGAGCAGAAGCTGTTACTTTGACAGATTTCGTCTTAGAAAAAACACCTTAAGGTGTAATACATATTAGTAAAGGATCATGTATTGTATGGCATTATGTATTGCAAATCTGAGACATGCAATGCATAAAAGAAGAATTGAAATGCTTGCATTTTGTTTACAGTTCTCAAAAAGCATAGTGTAAAGTGCACACTTTCTATACGCTTTTTTCCTGAAAAGTAAATAATGTCCCTGTTTTACAGTGAAGGCTGCACACTCTAGTATTGTTTCAGAATACGGATACAGATAAAACAGGTAAAACAGCAGCATCATCTTAAAGAACCACAAAAAGATTATTTGGACAAGCCTAATGGGAGAGGGGTTAGGACTTGTCAGCCAGGGCTCTCTGAATCCCAGTAAAAGAGCCTCCTTTGACACTTTCTGGGAACCCGTAGGCTGGCAGTGAGGTCATGATGGACACACCTATCCAAAGTCTGTTGTGAGGTGAGAACGTGATAAAAATAACTGAGGTGAGGTGATTCTAAATGAAAAGCAAATATTTCTGAGTAGTTACCTAGCTTTGGACATTTCCAAACATCACTAGTTTCATATGCTATGAATCATGTGCTTGAGCAGCATCACATCCACACATCACCGATTTCTGAGAAAGGCTTTTCTGGTTCATACTAGCTCTTCCTAAGAGTGATGATTTCTTATTATCCATCAACATCATACACGTATTAAATATCTGACTTGGTGAACATCTGTCAAATCCTGTCACAGTTATAAATTAACCAACTGTATCCATTAAAATGAAGTTATATACATAAATTGACACTTTTAAACAAAACCCACACCATGATTGAAATATGGTTAAAAAGTAACTTACCAATGTCATGTATCTGTAACTTTAATAATGTGAACTTAGATCCAAGTGGGTTGACCTCTGTGATATTAATAACATGGTAATGGTGCCAGATTGGTGGACTTCTTATGATGCATTCATTTAATGTGTACGAGTCCTGGTGGCACATCTGGACTGTGTCCTCTCCCATCCTGTAGAAGATATAAGAACATGGTCAGTAAAAAATAGTCCAAGTTAAGCCTAAAATTTCTAAGCTCATTTTAAAGTTCCTTATTCCTTACTGTGACATCTGCATGGCAAAAAAACATGCATGAAGCAGAGCACAAACCTGAAACTGCCATTTGGGAAACATCATATTAAATAACAGGAAACTAAAAGTCCACATCAAAGGCTTCAGATCCTCAAGACTGTCAGCTGACTGACTTCATTGTACCAGAATCCTGAAATTAAGTGGCAGAGTTTTTTTCACGTTTGTTTTTTTTTCATTTCTGAAAATACACTTTGAAAAACGGAGGTGAACGAATATGGATTGTCACCATGTGGTTGTGACAGACCACAAAATGGGTGACTACTGTATAGTCAATCTGTGCATCACACACACATTTACAACAGTTCTGTAGCTGAAGAAAAACAAAGTCCCCAACAAATTAAACATCATGTAACATACAGTAGACAATTTCATTAAAAGTATATTAAGTTTGATGAAATGTTATAGAACAAACAGGCTACGATGTTATTTTAATAAATTGCTTATTATGAAATAAGCCACATAATATATAGTCACAAGACCCCAAACATGTCTTCACACGCTGGCAACAAGAGTCAATTAAATACTTGAAGTGTTTTGGTGAAGGTGTTTCAGCTATTCAACACTTTAAAGAGATTTTCACAGTATCAAAGTAGAGGCAATTACACAGGAAAACAATGCATGAGAAAGCAAACTAGTGGACTTCAGAACTTAAAATAATGATGCACCTCAACACAATTTCACCTTGCACAACAGGAATGGGGGAATCAAAACCATGTTAACAAAAAAAACATTTCAGATAGGCGGATAGGTCCGCTAGAAAATAATTAACAGCCATGTGCCTTACTCAACCTCCCTGTCTATTACTTCACCGCTATCTCCTTCAATTTTGCATTTGTTAAGAGGTGATCACCAATTTCAGTGGCAACCTGGAATGGAGATACTTTTTAAATGTGTATTTTCTCTGATAAACTAGCCAAAAAATCAATACACCAAACTAATTAAATAATCCAAATATACCTTGGTGATCAGCTGAGGACAACATCTGACAGCACTGCACAGGCTGGTGTGTGAAAATGAAACTATTTCTAAATGAACACAATGTTACAATAACAAGCTTTTAATAGAACTTGCACTACAATACTTTTAGACTTCTGCACACAGTTCCAGCATTGCTGAACTACTGTACCACAGATCACAGCATAGACAGGATGTTAAAGTGCAAAAGAAGGTGAATTAAAAAAACATTGTACAAAGCACTTAAAGTAAAAGTTACAAATGCAAGCAGGATACTTTCAAATTAAATCCAGTCTGTCCTTATTCATATGCAGGAGGTACAAAAAGCTGTGAATTTGTGTGTTTAAAAGAATCATTTTTATTCAGTTTCTTCAATGTACATATAACATTTTAAGCACTTAGTTTGGGTACATCTAGCTAGTTTCCAGATGCAAGGGATTTCGCTTTCTCAAGGTCAGAGCTCTGCATATTTTACAAATCTTCTTAAATCATTACATCCTTTAGACCCAGGCCAGTTCTAACTTTTCCCAACTGACCAAAATGAGCTCAGTAATGTAATGTACTTGAGTGGAATGAAAAGCAGAATACCCAGAGGTGATGAAAGACTGAAGTTCAGGTCGGCAAATAAGAACAAATTTCCACCAAACCGTGTCCCCTTACCTGTACGTTGTGATGTACTTTGTGGGAAGAAAGGTCATCTCCATTTGCTCCCAGGAGCAAAGGACAGTGGTGTAATTAGGCGCCCTGCAGGTCACCCGCACTAACCCTGGAGAATCTGGAAACGTTGGGAAAAAAAATAACATGAGGCCAAAAAAAAAGAACTGTTGGATGTGTCCATCACATACATCATGTATGTTGGATGTGTCTCTATTGCTTCGAACTTCCATTTTTTTGAGGGAAGAACAGGAGAGGGAGAAAAGGCTCAGAACAAGCTTCCTTCCGCATTAGTCAAGGATGGAAGAAAAAGTATGTTGCTCGCGTGAAAACACAGTGAAAGGTCAGACTGGATATCAACTCAGATTTCTACATGGAAAATCTATTCTGAATTCATGAAAAGAAAATTGGATGTAACAAACATATGTTTACTAGCCTCAAATATGATCCCTTGATATCACGCACCAGCAGATCTGTTTGTAATGAGTCAGACAGAAGTACCCTTTTAAAAAAGCTAAATGTTTTTTAAATAGTGTAACAGAAGTGTTTCTTACATTACTGTTACATAATAACTGAAATGGTGGTGTTTTGATGCAGTGCTCTTTCTTTCATGGTGTGAGGAAAATGGCCAAGTTATAAATGATGAAATGAAGAACTGTACCATACATTTTGGCGCAAACATGTGGCAAGCCTATTTCTTAGAGATGAAAGAGCAGTTTTGTGTGGTGAGTACTGTATACTGTGGTCTCTCTGCTGGAAGAGAATCTTAGTGAAGTGTCTTTCTTAGGATTGAGGAAGCCGACTCGCTTTTCTCTGAAATATTTATGGTTGTTCTTTTAAAAGAGACATCAAGTCATATTTTTGAAAAATCAAAAATTCTCCTGACCCACAACCACAGAAGCAGACACTGGGACTGGGTAATACTATAACAAACATAATAATATGTGCATACACTAATTATAAATGCCAAATAAAATTCACTCAAAGAAAAAAAAAGTCCTGTCACATTTAAACTTTCCACATATCTTTTAGTGACTCCTTGCACATTTTTTTTACTGCATGGAAAAACAATTACTGCTGAAAGCCTCAACCGAAAGGAGAAAAATATTTCTGCTTCGTGTACTGTCTATCCCTCCAAATTTATAAGTGATACAATGCACAGAGCAAATAAAGAGAACAATGTAATCCAGATCCCTCTAGGAATAAAACAAAATGGCACATCACTAAAAAGACTAATGACAAATCTTTGCAACCGGCCTGCAGTATCCAGCATGTTTGTCCTATAAATGTCCTGAAAACTATAAATGTGCTGGGCAGAGAATCAACCCACTAATTAAATGATCATGCTTTAAATTACGAGGCAAGTCAGTGCACTGTGCTACTTTTCCAAAATCAAAGCCACCCATATGGTCAACCAGTTGTGGATAATCAGCAGCCTAAATGCAAATATTATGTACAATTACCTCAATTCATATTTAGATACTATCATATGCTAAAAAAATGCAACATTCTTTTTATAGTATCAAAAGCAAACATTTTTGTATATAGTCAGTGATATAACTTTTTTTAAAGTCTTGCATTCAAACTGCAAGTGCTTGCAGTACAAAAGTAGTATCATGTGATTCTCAGACTGTTGATGCTCTTTCTTGTGATCCATGACCTCACTTCCTCTAAAGGTTTTTAAATGGTTTTTTAAAGGTTACATAGCAAGTTACTTCAAAAATGAATCCCTCATAATAGCAACCTATGTTATGCTTAATGTTCATCTGGTAGTTATAAAGGTTTTTAAATCATACAGCTATCCATTGTTTACACATCTAATGCCAAGCCAAATGCTTTAAGGTTAAGTATTTCATCTTTAACATTCAAAACACATTCTAGAAAACATCTTCATGCATGTAACTGAATTTGCATTTTTACAATGTATTGTACCCCAAAACAAGAAAAAAGAAATACTCTGACACTTTAGGACAAAAACAACTTAAATATGAAACTACACAAAAAATATAGCTCTTGTTAAAACAATAAATGACAGCTGGAAAACATTTAATTGCAAGAAATTCTGAAAGCAGTACAAGCTGAAGGTATCATTATTTTCATCTGAACCCTACCCTGTATAACCAAATATTAAAATGTTTAAGAACAAGGAGTGCAGTACTAATTTTCATATTATGTATTTGTTTTGATCATATTATTAATTTCAAATTAGTCATATTAATATACAGTATATATAATTCCGTATTCAATGATGTAGTTTGAAATCAACTAATTCTGCAGTGCAAAGTTCACTTGACTCACACTGTGCACTAACACGTTGTGTAAATTTGTGAAGACTCCCAGTTTAAGAAACACACAAGCACTCATTAATAGCTTTTGTTACCCAGATTCAGCATTCTACTCCTCCTCTTCCCTTCAGGAAATCAAGTGCTATGTGGTTTGCAACTTCTTCTCTCAGGAAACGTACAGACCTTCACCGGGCCAGGGCACTATTGATTCAGGCTCAGTTTCTCCCACTCCTGTCTCACTCTCCAGCTCCTGACATACAGTTGTCTAAAATCAACTAAAATATATATCCCTTCACAAGTAAGTCCCAAGGAATGGGAATGCTGTGTAAATGTATTTACTTCTTCATTTTTCAAGAAGACAACAGCATAGTCAAAAGCAAATCACACAAGACTCTGCTTTATACCCTTGGAGGAATGTGGTATATGAGAACAGTTACAAAAGAGAGAAGAGAGTTCAAGCCATTTAGCCCATTGGGTGCATAGTAGTTCAGCCATTTCGTGAAAGAAGTTAGGGTCTTAGCTTCAACAACATGGCTGGGTAACTTGTTCCATACTCCCATCAGGGAGCAGATACATTATAGCTGATGACTGTACTAAGTAATCAGAAAAAGTTTGCTTGCAGTGAATCAGATTTTGCATGCCAAAATGTAATGTATCTCTATAATGGCAGTTTAAAAAATATATAGACCAATTAACTGTGATATTTAATAACTGGGTAGCAACACACCACACATACTCAGAAAAAAGCAGAGCTAAACAGAACCACCTAATATTTCTTCAAGAAAGACTCCTTTTTTATAATCTAGGTGTCATGCTTGAGCATGTACACTATTTAAGTGTCATTTTTGTGCACGTGGTATAATTTTGTGTGTATGTTAGAATTTTGTGTAGGCAGGATAGTGTACCTCACTGTGTATGAACCCAAACTGCATGTGAATATATACAACTGCATATGGCCAAGAATGTGTGTATGCTCATGAGTACAGATTACACTCAAGATTCTGTCCAGAAGTAAGAGGTGTTTAAACTATAAGTAACTCAGAATTTCAGTTGTTTATTAAACCACACAATGTAATTCATTCAGGGTTGTTTTAACAGTTGTCTGGATACTTGAATTTCTTCCAACTGTCAAAATGTTGAGAAAAATATAACCTTCAGTATCTATAATCATCAACAGGACAAAACAATTCGCCTATGCAGAGGAATTGAACCACATTTTGTATATAAATGAACCTTGTGCTTTGTTGACATGTATCAGTCAGGAATTAAGAAGTGACATGACAGAATGTAGCATTCTCATTCTGTCATGGGAAAACCTGCTCTATGATAAGTACTTTTTTGTTTTGAATATCATAAGTAGAAGAAAATGTATTTTAAAATAAGAAACATGATGACTTGAATTTTGTCTGAGGAGATTATAGATCAGGAAGGCCTGCCTGGAAACAAAGCTGAAACTGCGAGCAGCTAATGCTTTTTTGCGTCCTTACATGAAAATAATTATTTTTATCTAAAGCATGTTTTTGAAATATTAAAAATCAGCCATATATCTCAGGAGCTGTGCAAGATGTACACTAAGGAAAGAATAAAGCACATTACTCCTCAAGGCAGTTTTATTCTGATGTCTTAAATAATTATGTACAACCACCAATGGTCGTAGGGTGAACCTGACTGTACACAAAGATACTTTCCTTCTGTTTTTAAAATAAGCCACAAAATACAAGCCAGCATCACGTGTAACACGTAACATGTTTGAGCTGTAGTGGAGTGAGGTAGCGAAGAGGCATGAATGAAGTCACTCACTGCCGAGCCTGAGCTTGGTCACCCGGAGGAGTCCGGTTCCGTCGTAGCAGCTGTAGTTGCCTTCCATGGAAGCGTCCGCATTAATGAGAATGAGATTTCCGTTCTGAACAAGGAACCGGGAAGAGAGCAAGCTGCTGCCATTGTGCTGCCACTGCACAGGCCTGGCAAAACGCACCGCAAGAAACAAAACTGGTGGTAAATGACAACATAAGCCAGGACATCACAGACATTTACTGCAGAGGCTTTTCTTGGGGGGAAAAATGATATCGTCTACTGTAATGGTTTTCTAAAAACGGCTTTGGTTATTGCAAATGCATCATGGGCTGTGGGTCTTGAATAAGAGCGTCACTTCAAGGTGAGGCCAGTAAAGAGGAGAGTAAATTCAACTCTTCAAGGAAACACACACATAAAATTGTTTGTTGTGTTGTGATATATTGTAAAAAGTCTTGTGCTAGATAAACTGGCAATGCAACATCTGATAGCCTTGTACAAGGTATGTGGGAATTAACAATACAACATCATATAGATTCAAATTGGATTTTAAACTTTCATCACACCTCTTTAATAAAAGGTATTTCAAATAAATGATATGGCAACACATGATAAAATGTTTCCAAAATAAGCAACATCTGTATTATTGCTATCTATATGTACACTTCTGAGTTTCTATCTGAAAAGATATGCTGGCTTGTATGTTGACCACCTCACATTCTTTGACTATTTTATAATTACCAGCTTTTTTTCCCCCCATTATATATCCATCCAATTTCAAAAAGCCAACTGAGTCTTTAAGTCTCAGCTCACAGTGACAAACCCTGTTGCTAGACTGGGGAGAATGAGGGAGTGTAGACAGGCATCTCCAAGCCACCCATCTATCCAACAAGCCATTAGTCATTTAGTATGAATGACGCAGTTATGCAGGAGATGAGGTGCGTCCCCCACTGCCATCACCACAAAACTCATTCACCCATGAAATCACTGGGATCACTGTGACACTGAGAGCTGAGAGTGCCTGGCTGATTAGGCCCAAGCCTATTCCTGCCACTGGTGGCACTGTCAACTAACTGTGTGTCTCTGTGTGAGGAATCGGCATCACACTCAGGTAGTGACACTAATGACACAGACATGAACCTGCACTTGCAGCAAGTGTCTTTAATGGCAAGGACGCTTAGGGGCCTTACCTTATTATATGAATGCATGCCTCAGAATAGCAGTGCTCACTGCACATGCAAGCAATTTGTGAGTTTTAAGATTCTGAAACCAATGAAGGTCCAATTTAAACTCAGTACCATCTGATTTGCTTTACTTAAAGCTGATGGCACATGGATAAAAGAATACTGCAGTCTCCAACCTCATCATCAATTCAACCACAAACCAAACCAACTTGTTTGCCAGAGTACAGTAATACAGGGCAATCTGTACAGAATCAGTGCATGTCATGACTCATTATCTGCAACAGTCAAAGACTAGGTTTGTTATTCTGCAAGCCCTACTGTTGGGTAACAGATCCCGACATACAGAAATTAGCACATACCCATCGCTGGAACTGCTGCACACCAGGGTGACATTGGATCCCAGTCTTCCATACTCAATGTCTGAAACTTGCCAAAGAAAAATACAGATGATTACTGCAGTCTAAACACAATTCTGATACTCCCATTGGGCTTTGAGAAGCAGTTACATAGCATACAGCACTATTTGTAAGAGCAAGGGTATAAACTCTAGAGGTCTGATTAAATTAGAATATTGCACAATCTGCAATCCCTGTATGTACTCCTTAATTCAACAGGAGAAGCCGCTGCTCAGTTCTTCACCTGATCTGCTGGGTAGCAGGGCTATTGGTGTATAATAGCTGCCATGTACAGTACATACAGTTTCGGATTAGAAACACGACATGAATGCAACCAATTTTAAGTTATCATCATCATCATAACAGGGGCATTTCTATAGAGTCCAAAAAGAGATGTTTATTACTCATTACAGGAAAAAACAAAAGCAACAGCTGAGCTTAATCAATATTGATCAACCTCGGGTTTAATGAAACTCAGGAGTAACAAAATGCAATCGTTAAAGTTAATGTTGTATACAATTCTGCTAAAACGATCAGTGGTAGGTATCAAGAATGAAATGTGTTTTAAGTGACACTAACTGAAACTTGATGTCAGGTGAAGGACAATCCATCTGCCTACACGCTGGAAAGTTGCCAAAAATAACTTGGATCAAAGTGAATTTATAAGAATTGCAAAGTTCACCGACTAACGAATCCAACTAAATTCAAATCTGCTCTTGCCACAGTTATTTTTTCACCAGTACAGGGAGGTCATCTTTCTTCATTTAACTGATATTTTATTTAATGACAAACACAAAACAACAAAACTAAAAGACATCTCAGTTGAAGGAGTTATTCAAAAGGCCACTAACAAAACAACTCTTGTTTAAGAGCAATTATCATTTACATTCCATGAGGCCTTGAAGACTTATCTTAAGTGTTTCTATAAGGTACAACTCTTCTGTCTCTTCCATGCTAATATGATTCAATACAGAACTTTGTTGATTTCTTCCTTGATTAATGCCTGATTGCAATATACACTTAAAACATCAGCATTTCCTTTTCCTTGCCTGAAAGTTTCCTTCCTTCACCCATTACTGTTATTTTCTCAGTTCAACTGCCATTCTGTATCCTCAGAGGGAGATGTGCAAAGTTTGTAGAAAAGAGACAGTTAACATTCTTTCTATAAAACACTGCAGTAATGACATCCTATAATGTAATGTTGTAACAAACAAATGAAAGGATGATTACCCTCTCATAACTGTAAACCTTTATGGCCAATCTTTTCTGAAAGCCACATTCATAAAAAAAAGAGACTGGTGGTGTTTATGCAACATCCACATACATAAGGTCAGCATCTCATTTACTCACTGCCAATGCACACATAGCACTGTCTTACCTTCATTGTTCCATATTTCTGTCTTGACAGGGATGAAGGTTAGAGGTACGATCAGAGTGACAATCAGAAAGCCTGGGCATGATGCAAAACCTGTCATCTGCAAAAACATCACAAAGAGGGTATTCAACACCCAATCCAAATGAAACCTCTCAGTCATTCAACTTCACACATGCAAAAAAAAATAGAGGTCTTAGGTCCAATTTGAATTTAGACTTCAGTCTGCCAAACAAAACCAATTACAAACCCACTATACGTGATTGTGGGTTTCCACTGGGTAGCTGGAAGAAGACTCTGACAAATGAGATGCCTCCTTTAGGCAAGAATTTTAATGGAAAGAAAGCTCCTTGTGTTTCCACTCTGTTTTAATTGTACTTAATTAACTAATTAAGCAAGGTCTTACTGTGCAAGATGTTGTGTTTAACTAGTTTTGTTACTTACACTGCTTAAAATCAATACTTTTTGATCACTAATAAACATATTTTAGGCCTACTTGTAATATTGGATATGTTGATTATTGCAATTGTATAACAATTCAGTCTATCACACAGAGTAAGCTTCAGCACAAGTCTGCAAAGAAAGACAGCACGCTGAAGCACACACACTCATTCACTACGAATAAGGGATATATATTTGCAAAGTCTTTAATCTTCTGTATCCACACTGTATACCACCTTAGTTATTATCAATTCATTTTATTTCATCAGTACTTGTGTCAGTCTTCATTTTGTATAATCCATAGTGTCATTTTATTAACTTAATGTATTCTACCTTACTGGACCTTATTAGATTTGTCCTTATTCTTACACTTACTGTAGTATAAATGTTCTATTTATTTGTCTACAACAATATAAATCACCCTTGGTAAAAATGCCTGCTAAAATAATAATTTTGTTTGTCTGTTTGTTGAATTCTGTTCAACTGTAGAATTTTTTTTAATTGCTTCAGTCAAACAGCTCTGCATCTGTCCCTCTGTAGCTCTTTGAGGCTGCATATTGAGCAGTGATTTGTTTTCCTTCTTTCAATGTCTCCAGGAAAAAACAACATACTTTTTCTGGCCCCGGTCTGCCTGGGCCCACCACTACTGCAGTTAAAAAACCAAACATTTTTGTTCTTTCTAACACTATTTTTTGTGTAGATACATTTGTATGCTGTTTTGTTTTAAAACATAAATAAAAAAGTTTTAAAATTAAGGAAAAGGCTGTTATTCAGTCCAGTTAATTTGTACCTAATTACTTTGGTTAATATAAAAAGTGTGCTCTATTTAACACCTAAAAACTTTGTTGTTAACTTATGAGGAGGCGGGGGTGGGTGGAACGGTTCCAAACTCATCTGAGTTTTGCCTTGAATGAGTTTCAGTCCCACCAAGGACTTTCCCTGTAAAATGACCAGCATATATTCACAGATTAAAGATCCTTATATTTCCCATAGGAAATTTGCCCGCAACATCTTGCTAACATTAATGTTCAAGATGGGTGACAATGTCCTGTTCTTCTTTGTAGCTTTTCAAATGTAATTGAGTTGTTCTTCAGTTTTAGACATTGAAATATTCAATTAAAGTTTGTGCTCTCTCACAGAACAGAAATACTGCAGCTGTGGAAAGGGAAAAACAAGGCCTGTAGGACTGCCAGTTGGTGACCCAAGGTTTCCAGCTTCATTATTCATCTTAGTATAAACACTGTGTTTCCTATCTGACACTGTAAAATGGATATCTAGATAACTGGATCACAGCACCACTGCAAACAATACTGATTTCATTTTAGGCAGCCCAGTGTTACAGGATCGTTCACCTATAAGGAATCGATATAGAGAAATATCTCTTTTGCTTTCCAGCCACAAGGTAAATGATCTTGAATGTCTGAGCCATCTCACAGTCAAGGCTACTTATCCAGATTTATCCCAAAGTAATACAACAAAAACAAGCGATGTAGGGGATATGGTCAAACTGGACATCCTGTTGAGGTAAACATAAAGGAAGATTCACTGCTTGAAACATTCTTCCTGCAGCAACACCAACCCACAAATCCCCCGCATTTTTCCTTAAGGGTTCCTTTCTAAATTCTGTTTCTCACAAAATAGACTTAGAAAGTGTACACAAAGCTACCATCGCAGTATATGGAAAAAAAACAGGTAACACTTTAATCATTTATCTGAAATTGGCATAACTGGGCTTGATGTTATCACAGAGGTGGAACTAAATTATCCTCACAACATGCAGAGAGCCACCTTAAAAGCAACAAGCATTGCTTTAAAAAGACTAAGGTGCCTTTCACCTCTAAGATTTCAGGTAGTTAATAATATAGATTTTAACATGGCCTGCAGCACAGCAGGTGAACATGAATGACAATAACATAAGCATTCCAGGATGAAGAATCACTGGAGGCTGTGGGATATTTGCCAAAACCTTTTGTGTGCAATGTCTTTCATACACATTAACAAAAGGAACTTAGAAGTGAATTCTGGTAAACTATGATTAGTCCTGGAGGTGTATTTAATCAATAAAATCCTTACCTTTAACTGAAAGGCAGCACATGGGAAGAAGGTCTGTGCTAAGAGGGTCTGTGCTATCTATAACCGCAAGTTACTATGATGTTATGTTACTTAACTGATAACATCTTTGCCAATGGCTTGACCAAATGGGAATTACTATACCAGATTGATACTCAGATACAAAATTAATCATAACTTCCCTAAATCACAAAAGCTCAACTAGAAAAAATACTAAACATAATGAAACAGATGTAATGCCATTTCACAGTCACTTACAAACATAGTAAAACACAACGGAAGTGGAAAAGTTTAACTGTACGTGCATACCCATAGGATAATATATAGTTCATCATTACAGTTCTATTTTGACCTGTAATGCAGATAATTGTCATAATTGTATTTAATTATGATAAATTATGATAAATTCATAATTGTCTCTGAAAACATTTAAGCATAGGTAACCTATATTTTAGGCTAAAAAGAAACACTACCCCAGAGCTTACAAAGTAAATATTTATGGACATATTTTGAATATAAAATCAGGCAAAAGTATGAAATATGGTCCTCATCATAGGAGTGTAATGCGCAATGAATTGGCCTACAACATACTTGAAAAGGCCATCTTCAGTTGAGTCTTTGTTACAATAACAACTAGCACAAGTGACTGAATAAACATATACTCTACATACACAGATAGATTAAATTCCTTTTGTCTAACATCTGGACTTGTCAGATGTTGTCCCAGAGGAAAATAGACATTTCTACTAAAAGAGACAGGTAGTACTATAGAACTGTGCCTTAGTTGGCAGCATCTGTAACAAATTTCAGAGTAACAGATTTCAGAGTGCAGATTTTTTTTCAAGGAGGCAATCTATTGAATAAAATTAACAAAAACTTGCTTTCCGTAATCACTTTTAATCACCTGAAGCAACTAAAGTACATACTTTTTTTCAGTTCTTAATTATTTGGCGATTCTGATTCTGATTCTGGTAACAATGTGGCCCCAGGGGAATGTATAATAAACCAAGTCCTCACTGTAATACTGCTGGAAGTCTGCTTAAAGGCAACCCTCAAAGAGCAAGTTTACAACTGAAATAATGGCCACACACACTGATACTCAAAACCATTGATTCCAATGACTTAACTTTAAAGAGAACAATTTTATTTATGGGACAGAGTTGGCACTTTTTAACAAATTTGCAATGACTGGAAACTTACTGGAGACCAAAAAGCAAAGCAAAACATTTTCAAGCAATTTGCGGCATGAAGAAAAAAGCTTTAAATGATCTGGGAAATGGACTGAAACCATGCTGAATGTCGCCGGAAGGGTATGAATATAGCACCACTCTAAATGGATGGTTCATTCCTCGTGATTGAGAGTTTTTAAATGTTATGTTAATAAAACTCAGGTGTCTCCAGAAATAAGAGTAAACTAATTCCTGGTTCCAAAACAGCAAACCGATTGAAATCCTAATCAAATTAAGGACAAATCTGAGTAAGGTGTCCCAATTATACTGCAATTACATAGAAACAATTTACAAATACATAGAAGGTAATAAACTGTTCAAAATCTCAAATTTTACTCCATATATTTGTACTAAGCCACACAGTATCTTTGCCTCATTAGACACTCAAACACTAATCAGCCTCACTACATTTGTCTACAAGTACTGACCCAAGAAGGGTTTTAGTGAAATGGAATTAGGTTTAAACTCTTGTACACTCCATACCATAATGGACAGTTATATTCATTTCATTTCTATCGAGGGTGATGGACAAATGGAAATCTGAAGATTATAAATGTAAAAAAAGAAAATGTCAAACACTTCACTCTCCTGTTGGATGGAAACATTACTTTGAAAGGTCAACCCTACTGTTTCTCCTTTTTATTAACCGATTTCTAAACCTCAACTCAAAAACAACTTTGATAGCTAATGCATTATGTCAGATTGTCGTTATTCCTATTAAATGCAAATTAAGGTAGTAATTTCTGAAGAAACAAATAACAGTTGATAAAATTTTCTAATCAATCATAGCAAGGAATGTTAGAGACGTTTCTGATTACTGTCCTCATATCTGATGACAATATACAGTTTGTATTTTGTTTTATTAAAATATGTCTTGTGTACTGTAGTTTATAATGTGGCTCAAGACTCTGGGAAATTCACTGTAAGTTTTGAAGGAATGTACCCATGGAGTGGAGTTTGGCTCCAGACTCGGTACAATACACTTCTAAGAAATGTAGCTGAAACCCTTACAGCCGTGAGATGTACGTGCAAGAGCTAAAAGCCTAATGGATATGACCAGTTTTACGAACTGCTGTCCTCAGCGTCAGAGCTGCTCTGCTTGTTTGAAAGATTCCAGGAGGAAAAAAGCTAAATATCCCTTTGAATACAGTATTACGTTGAAGATGACATTCTGACATTCTACAATGCTAACAGCTCATTGGAAATTTGCCCCGGATAATGAGGCCACACAAGGCTCTCCTTGTTGTACTTGGCAAAGCTAATATTAGAGCTCACAGCAGGGCTCTGTCCTTATCTGTATGCCCTCCTAACCACTTCATCTAAAAATAATTCCTCTGTACAATGCAGTGAAGACAAACCTTGA